ATCATAAATGTAAATGTGTATTGCACATATACAGTCTGGTTCAGCATAGCCTTGTCACATTTGTCGCAAAGATTATAGTTGTAAAACTTCTCTCATGTATATAAAAGTGACATTTATGTTAAATCACCTGTACAGGAGGTTTCCACTGAAATGTAGATTAATTCAAGTTTAGCAATGCCCACAGTTGCTTCCTGAAAACATATTCTTGTGATTCAAGCTTCAGAAGATGAAATAAATTCACTTTACAGGAAAGACCAGGATTATAAAACAGAAACAAGCAAAAAAAAAAAAAAAAAGCGCAAAAAAGACATCATATTTTCCCCTTGCATATTTATTTGAAAGGCATCAAATATTTTTGATCGTGACCACACAACGCTTCCCTATAATGGTCAGCATTGCACTTTCAATAAATTTCCAATTACATGAGAGTGAATACCTTTAAAAAATTAAAAGCTATTTATTCCAGTCATGTTCATGCTACTGAGAGTTTTCCCCAAAAATAATTAAATATTGCCAATAATGTTGAATTATTTATTACTCTTAGTTTGACAAGCATTTCAGCATGCTAATAGAAATCAATGACCAATGAAGGGTCAAGACCATGCAGTGTCACATTTTTCATGTATCATCATGTATTTTTTTGTATTGTATATGTATTTTTTTCCACAAAGATATCCCAATGGTGTGACAAATGAGTTACCAAGAATGCACCACTCTTTTAGCTACTACTTCATACAGAACTTAAACTTTATTCACAGGCAAGACTGAAAACGGTACACTGAGCAAAGGTCAAAAGCATCACTTACTGCAGGAGAAGGAGCGGCAAACCATCTCCACAGTATGACTTGTTTCTTATTCCCTATCAATTATTGACATGCAGTTGTCTGCTGTGAAGGCAGCCAGACTTTCCGTTGATGTGTTCAATGAATATTTCAGCTAACAAACAGGCCACCTGACACTGTGCACTGAAATAGAAGCTGCACCCATGATGTGCATTTACTGCACATTCACTGTAAAGTCACAATTTTTTTGTCACGACTTTCCCATTAAAATGCTTGTTTGCCATTCATACTATTAGCATAATTCAAGTGTAAGATTTTTATTTTTGGTTAATTTAACTGTTATCTATTCATATACTATCCCCCAAATAATCAAGTCCGCATTGTTTTAAATGCAAAGGAGTGAAGATAACGAGTTGATATGGAGGTGCTTTGGGGTGCTCTATATTTCTATTAGGTATGGTACCACAACGCGATCTAGCGTCTCCATCACGTCATCTGAGGAAAAATATGAATCCAAGACTTTCCGTAAAGTCTGATACTTTTCATAGCGTCAACCAATTTGTTCCAGTCATTGTATCATGTGGACAAAACAACACATTCAGCATTCACTAAAGTCACTTTAGTGGGGGGGGGGAATCATAGCACCAGTGGAGCTCTGGTGTTGTTATTTATGTTAGACACAGTTCGAAAGCAGCCTCTGTGGAGAGGACACAGCCCATAAATCTTGCTATGGCCCCTATGAGCAGGTCAGGAAGGCACCAATATTTCCACTTTATTAGAAACAACAGGGAGAACACGTCGCCATAAAGGAGGCCCGAGAGGTGAATCTCAAACACGAGTAAGAGCAGCTAAAGCATACTTCTCACAGCTGAGAGCTACTCACGCAACAACTTTAAACATCGGGAACATTTATTGGGGCTTCTCCCACCCTTAGACTGATACGCTCTCTCTCACCTATGCTGTTTTTGACCTGAAAAGGTTTGTTTTTATTGCTTCTTGACAATATGATGCCATTGTCTTCCCTTTATTAGCAGCCTCTGTTTGTAGTTTGTGTCTTTGATTACATAAAGTGAAACGGAGGAGGACTTGAAAATGTCTCTGCCCATCGCATTCAAATCATTAAAACCGCTCCTGTTCATCACATGTCAACTTGGGGATGAACTTTACAGCAAGGTGTGACAAATGATGGCAGCCACCGTCTGCGATTCATGGCTGACGGCGTGCCATAACCCTCTACATACCCTGACCTCAATTTGGAGTGTTCGCGTTGAAGGCCCATCTGAGGGAGATGGTATCGATCTGAGTGGCTGCTCAAACAACGTCAATAAACAACAGGCTTCAGGCTTCAAGGCTGAGGAGACACATCTCCATTTTAGGAGGGTTCACATGTGGACCACAGAGTTTGGACAAGAGAGTTACTTTTGTTGAATTCACAGCAGCTCCTTTGACTCGGTGACAACTTGCTCGCGGTTGCTGCCATCGAGGTAAGTAACCGCAAGCACGCATCAGCATGTTGACGTTGAATAATTAATATTTATGTTGAGGGACACGGCCGATTGATGTAGCTGTCAATAAGTGGAAGAGTAATCGGTGCTTAAAAGCAGAAGATGAATCGTGTTTCAAGATCTCCTGGATCAGCAATACAGTGAAAGGAGACAGAAGAAAGAGATCACTTTGGCTCTTCAATCGATGGACAAAACAATTCCACAAATGCACGTGACTAATGAAATAATTATCGCATCAACAAGAGAAGGAAGCGCATGCAATTAAAAAGAAGCATGACACACAATACTTTTTGTTTCCTTCTTGTCTTGTTTCCTTCCACTGAATCCGAGTTAAATAAAGTGTGCCTCATATATTTAGAGGCAAACTGGTCTCTGTGTGTGCTAAGCAGCTTGTCAATACGAAGAAAAGAGGCAACAGACAAGAGAGAAGGTCTGATAAAATGACTTTTAATTACCAGACAGTGAATGCTGGCCTTCCTCTTCCACTTTCTCGTCCAAGCAAAGTCAGGAGTTTGATTTCTGATCATGTAGATTGCTGACTGAGCTTCATCCCGCTTGTACGTAAAAGCAGCAGGACCCAACGTCAAGAGAGCGTATTTGACAGATGGGCCAAATAGATCCTCTGCTGCTCATCAGAGGCCACTGCCTTTGGAGGCACTCATCAGCGCACTTGATAGCCTACCTTGTCTTACCCATGCCGCAATCAGACATGCAATAATTTTGGCATTAGATGGAAATCAATGGAAATGCACCCTGAAAGTCGGCACGGGCGAGTGACGTTAACAGTTGAGAGCAGTTCATTGCAGTGTCACACTCTAAAAACAGTTGGGTTATTTCATTAACTCAATACTGTATTTGGATTGTTTGTGTTGGGTCAACATTCTGGGTTATTTCTTAGGAAAGTAACTAAATCGTTGGTTCAAGTTCAGCATTTATTGGGTTTTACGCCTGTAATGTTTTTGTGAGGTAAAAAAAAATCAACCAATTAAGTCGGATTTGCGGGCATGACAGCCATCCATATACTGTTCATATCTCAGCACCGTTTTCAAGTCAACACTTGTTTTGTATTTCTTGATTTATGACTGTTTTGGTGAATACTTTACACATTTAAATTTTTGAAGACCGTCACGTTGCCTTTTAACTGCGTGTGTGTTGGAAAGGGGAGTGCAGAAATCAGGAAAAAAGCTCAGATGCCTTGCGATGGTAAGCAATTATGAGCTTTTCCCCCGAGATTGACAAGGAGCAGGAGACTCTCGCGTTAAATTCAGGTAAGATTTAGAGAAGTTAATCTGCATAATTATACATTACACAGTTTATTTTACAATTATTGACGGGGTTTTTAATGTTTTTATGCCAATGATGTCATACTTTGCAGTTTTATTTGAAAAACATGGTGTGCTCATGTGAAAGTCATGACCACATGTAACTCAATGGCTATGGGCAACTTTAGTTGCTCACACGACAAGTCAAATAAAATCCAGAGTGGTTATTTTGCAACTCGCCACCAAGAGGTTGCAGTGAATCGCATGAGAATTACAAGTACAAATTCTGCACTGGTTAAAGTGGTTCTCCTCGTGCTACACAGTGGGCAGAGCGGTTGATCCGAAGGTGCGCCTTAATTTCTTCGCGTCACGGGCTCGATTTACACTGCGTACATTTTATTTTTATTTTATTTATTTATTACAGTTTACCACTTTCTTGCAACTAGTCGGGAGTTGTAGAGGAACCATTATTGTTTCATGTAATTTTTGAAGCACTGACCAGTTATGCAGTGGAATCATTTTGATGTTGCTTACGAAACGAACATAATTGGCAAAATGATGAGGGCTCCACAAAAATAAAAGGTTATGTTTAGAGCGAAGATAAGTAGATGGTTAATCAAAAAAAGGTAAAATAAGTCTTAAAGAAATAAGGATGGGGTTAAAATAAAGAAAAGTTCAAAAGTTTAACCTATATAAAAATTAATAAACAAAGTTAAGGTAAGGTTATGATTAGGAAACACAAAGTTACTGGACTGACATTACCTTAACAACTGGAATTGGGAGCCAGTGAACATGGACGTGGGTATAACCAAAACATGGCAGCCTACACATCATGCTGAAAAAGATAAAAAAAAACCCTAATCACGGCCAACCCTCTGTAATCACGGTAAAATAGCCAATTCACAGCAGCCCCAGAAATCCGAACTGCGGCGATTGACCAATCAGAGACGTTCACGGCAAAATAATGCTTGCAGGAGAGTTGATGCTTGCAGGAGAGTTGATGGTCACGGCAAAATAATCAAAACCTGAGACGATTTAGAATCATACAATATTTCTTATATTGATGTCGCAAAATTTTAAAAACTTTTGGAAGATTGATTTAAGACATTTGAATGCCAATTAAGTTCTTGTTTTTACATGAATGGGTTCTATTCCTTTTTAAGACGTCTCAAAGACCATTTTATTGCTCTAACATGCATGTTTTGGAAATGTGGAAGGAAGCCAACGTATGCAGAGAAAGTACGGAGAGAAAACGCACATTCCACACAGGAATGCAAAACACAGAACCTGTTAAGTGTGAAGAGTCATAATGAGTCATCTGATTGAAATAGAACAATGACTTTTGTGATCCGACGCGGAGTAATGTTCCACATTTCCGATGGAGAAGCACATTTCATCTGCTTCAGGTCTCTCTCTTTTAATTTGAAACGTTTGGAACGGATGTCGGCTGTGTGCTGCTATTCGTAAACTTATGATTTCCTTTCACACAAATTCATGGCTAAACATCCCAAACATAACACGACAAAACTTTACCGGGACACTTTTCAGCGTTCGCTTTGCTTGTAATACAATTATGACGTGATTCTGACTCTCACACAGCAACTGTTACTGTCATTTATGTCTGCGCATGACTTAATGCAAGTATGTGGACTGAACAGGATGATAGCGTGTGTTAGCATATCACGACAGGAAATTAGCTCGTTAGCTTGGACAGGTGAGCTGAGTGTTGTTATGAAGCTTCTTTTCTCGGCGTCCTATTCATGATCTACTTTAGTCCTAGTGGCATCTTCATTATGGACGCCGGGAGAATTGTAATCCGAATAAAAACTCCGTTAGGGGACATGGATTCTTCCGTCGACTGTCCATCACTGCTAAACTTCAGTGACTTGCTGGTAAGTCATGCTACTCTGTTGCCAAAACTCTCTCTCTGTTTTCCCCCATCAATGTCAGTTATTTGATTTGTCATAGTTGTCGTAATTTCTATAAATAGGGCGCCATCAGGGATGTTATGCCTGAAGCCACCGTCACTGCCTTTGAATGCAAGTATCTTTGAAATTTTACCAGTGTTGTTTGTGAGTACAGAAGTTTTAATATTCAGACCACAGAGCTTTCTCTTGTTTGACAAATTCTGCTGATCACTTTTCTTGAATTGGGTGCTTTATGTGGTTGACAACATATAATAATTTAGTTGATTACACATCTGTTCAGCTGTCTATTTTGCATTGTCTTCAGCCTGTTGGATGTGATGCTTACAACTGCTTTTTTTTTTTTCAAAAATTTAAAAGTACTTCTGTGTCTGTCATTTAGATGAAGATGAGGTTGGTGACAGAATCACAGTGAGAAGCGACGAAGAGCTCAAAGCCATGTTGTCATATGTAAGTACAAGAATTTAAAAAATGTCCATTTGTTTCTTATTGTGGCACAAAAAACGAGTTATCGGCTGGATTCAGATTTGTTTTTAATTATGCAAAAACATGAGTACCTCTACAATATTTTAATGTGGATTCTTATATGTGGGTACTAAAAATAGAACTGCATACTCACAGATTGTTTGCACAGATTACAAGAAGTAAAACATGCGGTAGTGTCGCATAACTAGGTTACACTGTACTATGTACTGATGTCTCTTAAGTGAATCAAAATGTGCGTTGTTGCTATTTTGAAAACCATACTAAAGATGATTTAGTTCAACAGAATCACAAGCATATCGGACACAATTGTGCAGCACTAGGAATTATGTCGTTTTAGTGTTACAGATGTAGCTCTCACATCTGGCAACTTGCTTGAAAAAGATTGGTAAGTTTGTGACATGGTTGTTAGCTGCCACTTGACATTGTACACCAATTACCATGTAATGGAATGTGTCTACACATGCAATTGTGAGGGTGTGAGCATATTGGGCCTTGATACTTGCTTCTTTGTTTCAATATATCTAGGGCTGAGACATACTTTATCGGTTTGTGTCTTGCTTAGGTCAGTTTTTTTGGCGAAGGCGGTGGTATTTCAAAAAGCAACTTCTTTATGCTTAAAATTGTGTTCTCACTAAGTATTTTCAAAGCTCTGTGCAAGCTGGTGCAATGGGGCATGTTTTAAAAAAAGAGCATTTTGTGCCATTGTGGGCTTGAACACAGCCAGCTTGATTCGTGAACACAGCCAGCTTAATTCACAGCCAATCGAAGCAGCTCTTCTCCTTCCCTTTGCCGCTTGTAAGAAGAGTGCTGATAGTCCTTGACATGGTGGAAGAAGACACTGATTTACTTGCGTGCTTACGAGAGACAAAGGTGCGCAAAGTACATTCTTAAGGAATTGCAAGCAGCTCTCCATGGGCAGATCTAATTTTTGGGGCTATACTATAGCTGTGAAAGTGGGCACTTTGAGACCACCTCCACCTTGGTCGTATGTGTCAGTGCTTTCCTTGAAAAGTTTTGGTTCAAAATTGTCACCTGTAAAGAGTGAAATTTACTTTTGTCATCTGAACTGGATTGTTGCAGCCAAACCGGGCCCTCTAAATAAATCAGCATTATTTGCCTGCAAATTTACACACACACACACACACACACACACACACACACACACACACACACACACACAGCATAGGAACACATCAGCGTGTTCACCTCCAATTCTGTTTCGTGGCCTAGACGTGTGTGACATAATGGATACACAAGCTATATAACTCGACTTCAATGTCAGTGCCAGACATTTCTTTGGTAATACTGTATATAATGTCTTCCCCACTACTGTATGCTCTGAGCCAACAACACCGGCACAGGCACTCTATTTAGTGTTCATGACACGGACAGTAAGTGTAATGATGTGTGATGGATCTCCCGACAAGGGCGACATACTGACAGATAAATAGCTGTCGATTTTTGATTATTTATTAGTGAGTACTTAAAGATTTGCCTCATTAAGAAACAGGCCCCCAGGCTGCTCCAAATCTGTGTTCATCTGTAGATGTCTTTTACCCCCCATCAGCTCACAATTCTGCAGGACCCACAGGCCAAATTTCTGGCTTTCTGGTCCATGTCTATCCAGCAACGTCCTCCGGGAACTTTTTCAACATACTGTGGTGTAGTTTCAGGCTGATTATGTAAAATAAGTCAAATATAGTGCATATTTTGCATGCTAAAATCTTATCACAATGTGCATCTAAACAATGGAACCTTGTGGCAATGTCACTGCCACCAGTTTCAAACCTTGATTTAAAACCCAGTTTTATTCCTTGTCTTTCAACTAAGTATGAGCCCTTGCTTTAGTGTTTTATGCATTTATTTAGTTTTATCTGCGGTATAATGCTTGACCGCGACCACTTCAACTGAACAGGTGCACGGGTGTTTATTGACAATACAGTGGGACCTCTACTTACGAACGTCTCTTCATACAAAATTGTCAAGTTACCAGGGATGAGATTTTTCCGCTTTTTGGCGGAATTCCGCTTTTTTTCCAGTCAAAATGGACCCATTTTATATTGTTACAAATCCGTAAAAAAATTCTTGGGGGGGGGGTTCCGGACTTGTCTTCGGCAGATTCGAGGCTCGTAATGTTTACAAGTAACATTTGCAAGCATCCATTTTGAATCCCGTTTTTTTCTTGCGAGGCGTTAGTTTGTCGTTATTTCGTATATGGGCTGAAACCAATGTCTTACTTGTTGTGATTGGTCGCTATATCGGCAAATGCAGAATCACAAGCAATCCGTGTTCGCCTTCCTAAACCCCTTTCTCGCGAATGCCGAATGTTATCGAGACTCGTGACGAAGCTAAAGTGCGTCAGATAGATGCGGATCTGAAAAACACGTTTCGATGGGACTGGTTGGATAGAAAGCTGACGGTGTCCCCGGTAGTAACCAGTAAAGAGGAACCTTTGCCTGTGCTTGTGTTGGATAAAAAGAGAGCGAAAAAGAGAGGACCAACAAACTTTTAGCTCTTGCTAAAAAGCTTAAAATGAAGAGAAAACAAACATTCTACATCATGAAACTGTACATAGTTGTATACACTGTAAATAGACATCCACTTTATCGGATAAAATGTATTCATAACCCATATATTATACACAGTTTGGGACTTCACTATCACTGTATGAGGTACGAATATCACATTTACACAACATTTTATGAATACAAGTCATGAACAAATCTTAAATATGGCAGGGAATGTGTTTCCTTTTTTAGTTTTGATTTTGAGCAGCAAATCTGAAGTTACATATAGTTGCTCACCAGGTGCATAAGCACAAAATTGCACAAAGGCCAATGTCAAATTTTCACTTGAAAGAATAGTGCACAATCTTGGGATTTTTTTTCTGTTAAACTTTCAAATAGTGTGTAAATTGAATACACTTCATCTTCAGCATGTTTAGTATGAAGTGCCACTTTTGTAAGTGCCCCGCCTCCTCGCCCCGCCCATTTTCCGATTTTTTCATCACTAGCCACTCTCATCCCTGAGTTACGAAACACCTCAACAGAAAAATATTGCCTCTTGTTGTGAAATAAATTTCAAGATACGAAAGGTAAAAATACAGTATGGGCTGCTACTCGCAGCTCTGAGTTTCCTGAATGCAACATACTTATAGCTGCTCTGCCATTGGCTATTACCTGGGATCTTCCTGGCATCCCATTGGCTAAGAGGGGCCTCTATCGTACGTGTCTGTGTGTGTAGATGGATAGATATGTGTTTATGCAGCGTCCTCGTTATTCGCCCCTCGGGCTATGAGGTGTTGCGATAGTTTTGCGGAAATATGAATCACCCAGAAAAAGTGTTCACCAGTCGGACGATCGCTCACGATGCTGATGTTTGCCTTGGACATTTTTGAAGGTTTATTAAAAGCCAACAAAAGCAAACGTCCTTGGATCAATTCTTTGCAAAACGCTAGGCGAAAACCACTTCCGAGAGAGAACATGAACTAAAGAGGGCAAAATAGGATGAGTACGCAGTTAAAAGTTAAATAACCATCATATTCTTTTTTCTTAGTTTTTTACATTCTGCACAACTCTCATTTATTGTGCAATAATCTAATTGTAACATGTATTTGTTATATATTTGGATGCATTTTTATGCTTCAGAAAACATTTGTCTGAATTTTTGGGGGGTCTTGGAACGGATTATGGCATTGACATGGAAAATGCGTCTCGACTTACAAAATTTTCTCATGAAGAAATTTCTTCCAGAACCAAGTAATGTAATTTCGTAAGTAGAGGTACCATTCGACTGCTGACTAAAGTTACTCGATTACAATATCAAATTCCAACTGGACAATGCTATACTGTACTCACTGTGAACATTATCCCTCTCAGCATTGCTTTGTCCACAACGTTCAAGTCATTTTCAGAATAAATATTTAGCAAATAAATACAGCAGCTCTGTAATGGTTTTCTTTATCCCATTGGGACAACCCTGTTTGTGAAAAGCTGCTGACCACCTGGAAAGTCCAATGTGGGCTACATGAATTCCCATCATATCTAATTCAAACGTCATGTTTTTTCTGCAATAATTTGCCTTTGAATTTTGGAGATTTGCCATGGAGTAGTTGTTTGCTGTTTGTTTTGGGATTTGATCTTATTCTGGGCAAACAACTGCCTCAACAGAAAGTTCAATAATTCATTTGCCTGTATGCATAACAAAAGTATTTTTTCTTTGTTGGCACTTCAGCTTTTTTTTTTCTTTACTTTTCCTTTAAAAAATTGCCTTCCCCTCATCGCTGAATAAAATTAATGCTCAAATTCAGTACAGTAGTTAATTAACATCAGTGTGCAGAGGACATTTATTGTGAAAACTATCCCCATCAGTGAAAACACTGATTGCTACATGCTCCTGTGAGACCCACTAGTCTTGCAGGCATCCCTAATCATTATTGGACACCTTGAAAGACAGATGCCCCTGTTCAAAGTTAAAGACTGGCCTCTGTCAGGTGCTAAAAAAACATGTGACCTCATCTGTTCTTCAATCAGCTCCCCCTGGAGGTAATGGCTCTAATTCCACCATTCTTGCTCCCATCGCCCCTCAGCCCGCTAATGATGATGAGACCCTCTCCCTCCGCTTGTCCCTTTAGGCTGAGCGATTGTATTTGGGATTGGACACAGTTTAGTTATTGGCCAACAACGGAGAATGTCTTTTAATAACATACTTTCCACAGATTTGGCGGTAATTGCCGCCTTAATCAATAAACTAGCTGAGCGGAAAATTAAAGGTACGTGAAGACCGCCCTCGCAACACGTACAACATGTTTTTGGTATTAGCCCTATTGTTCAGACGTGGACGACTGAGAATGCTGGAGGGCAGCAGCAGAGAGCTAGAAGCGAGGAGGGATGTGACAGTGATAAATAGGCCTTTTAATAACAGCTGTGCCACTTGGGCAGCCATTTTGATCCATTTCTATCCGAGCCGGGCCCATCGTCCTCCATTCCTCTGTCCCTCCCCCGCGATGAGGGAATGCATTTACATATCTGTGTAATGACTTGAGGGTTCATGCCGGAGTGTAAATGAAAAGATACAATTAACACATGTACATAAAACCTACACCAATTTGTGGTTTGTTTTTTTTTTTTGCAACTGTTAACTGCAAGCAAGGTCACAGTGTTAATTGTGGTTGATTTGAAGCCTTCTCCAGAAAGGAGACACACACATACAGGCAGACTCACAAAAACCTACACCCTCACTTTAACAGATGGTTTGGTTAACTGAAACATCAATTATTGCATTGGCTTGGCAAGTGTCTGAGAGGCTCCCGAGTGTGTCTACACGTGTTAGTCCTGTAGGATATGAGTGTTTGGTGAGCTGTTGACCTGGAGGAGAAAAGGGTAATACTACACTCGTTCACAACAAGCCCACCAGGCATTCATTCTCATCGGCAACAGATTTCAACACAGCATGCTCACATTTTGGAAAGTCATTGGACATCAGTTGAGCATTTTTACACATTTTGAATGCACAAAAGCGAATATTACTTTACCCATATTGTGTTGTTATGATGGGGTTTTATGCCATTCTCGCAAACTTCTCGATAGTGTTTGTGAACAATGAAGCTTGTAACAGTCACTTTATTTTCAACTTTAGTACTGCGCTACAGTGAATGAAGAACGCTTGAATGGACAGCTTCCAGAACCTCTTCAGATATTTCCGCGAGGTATGGAGTGCTTGCAATTAATCATGAATGCAAATTTGCTTTTGTTACCTGTAGGACTTCTAAAGCTGTATCTCTGACTGCCTGTTGGACTGTACTTAAAAATTAGGTGAATCTCTTGAACAGTGATCAAAACTAAGGAAATAATGAAAGTGGCTGGAAGTATCAATGCCGCCACTGGACAGTAGTGAAATTCAGGTGCCTATTTTAGAAAAACTCAAGAACTGTGATTTCTTTTCATCTTGGGAGCTACCCTCTACGTCCACTTGCAAGAGGTATACATTCACTGCATAGAGAGACTATGTTAGGCACTTAGTTTTCATAATATAAAGGGATAGTGTGCAAAAAAAAAAAGTTATTATTGTTCATTATTGTTTATTATGTTAAAAAAATGTTTTGTCGAATCAATGTAATTTTTTTTTTTATTTTTTATACACAATCAAAGGTGAAGTAAATCTAATCATATTGCATAGAGCGCGCCTTCCCGACAGAACATTGTCATGTTCCGCCGCCATCTTTCTATGGGAACTCGAAGGGGACAAATTTAGCTGACTGATTTTTCAACACCACGACTACAGCAGTGTGACACATGCCGAAGTCGTTCGGGATGACATTTCTAGCTTGTTCTTCTGCTGAAGAAATCGGTGGTGGTAGGCTTGCGAAGTGCGGTCTGTCTGAGGCACCATACTAAAAGCAAGCGCTTCAAGCATTCTATTAGTTCGCCGATAGATGGTACTAAATTCTACACACTCTACCTTATAGCCTTGAAATGCCCTCCCCAGATGTTTAAACATATTGAAACTTTTTAAAGCATCCTTTTAAACAGATTGCAAATGTATTTGAAACACACTGCTACAGCCTAGAACTATGCTGCGTGCAGGTACAAAGACTCCTCCGTCGAGCTGGGGAATGCATCATTCTCATGAAAAGCTGGACGCAATAAACTGCATATTTTCTCGATTGAGTAAATATTTCTCAAATATAAATTAGATCCGTTTAACAGATAATTCTGCAAAGTAGATGGTCCGCGATTGGTGACAAGGTTCAATGCCTCCCCATATTTTCCATCATGTTTGCAGTATGAATGCCTTTTCAGATGATCTACGTGTCGTTTGCTCACACATCTAAGCAAGCCCCAAGGGCTTAGTGACAAAGAATTGTATTCTGTCTCACAGCGCTCTGATATACATATTTTTCTCACTCGCGTCTTGTTCATTTCAAGGCCTGTAACTGTTTTCCTTCCTACAAGCCAACAGCAGTCTCAAGAGGCCAGCAGCTCAATCACTTTCTTTTCATGCGCTAATTTCAAAGTAACCCTCATTTCATTTCATTTCGATTTTATTTATTTATTTTTTTAGAAAACTGAACTGATGCATTTGTAAATGGCCCAGTGATGTGTTCTTCAATCTAGTCAATTACTGTTTCAGCCGGCAAGACTCCGGGGATCCGGAACATACATGGCCTGAAGGTACCTATCTCAATAATTGTTTCAGCTGCCTTATGCAGAATGAGAAGGAGGTCTTGAAGTGAATGCATTGGTAACACTGTGTTCCACTTATTGAAATGTCAATTGCAGTCAAGGCACTCCTCCTGTCTCACTCATGTATATTTATTTATTTATGTGTTTTTTTATATGTATGGTGGCGGCCCTGATATGGCTGTAGTCGGACTTTGCTGCAGAATACATTCACTACCTCCTCAGAAAATTTCATGTTGCTTTTCACTGTTAATGCAACTGGTTGGTCGATAGCACATCCTCAATCACAATGACCGATAGAATAGACTTCTTCATTTGAATAGCCACCCCATCCTCACATACATGGGCTACAACAGGCTTTCTTTATGTGTTGTATTCTCTGTGACATTTTGACTCCCAACTACTGAACTACGGAGATCAAGGGTCTGTTACGCCAAGATGGTGTTTTCCCCAAAACCTTTGGTAAACTTTCACCTCCTTTCTCTCATGTTAATATAAAAGTAATTGACTGAGTGGAGTCGTGTGTGCAGTTTAAATTAGGTCTTCCTGGGCACTAATTAAAGAGAAAATTCCTTCGCTTTAGTGGACCAAAAACACCTGCCTTTTGACCTCAATTAAAAGTGTCGTTTTCAGTATTCCCCCAGTAGTCGCTTGTCTATTATTTCATGTCTTTGGAGTAAACATGCATATGCCTGAAAAGATGTGAAGAACAATGTCCCTAGTGAAGCATAACATTTTGATTGTCCCGGTGTTATTGTTCTGCTGTCCTTTGTCTTAGTTATTAATGTGTTAAGAAGATTTTTACTGTATGTACTGGAATGCACAATTATTCAAACATTGACTGAGCTTTGGGTGAAAGTGAATTTTACTTCTTGCGTGGGTATCTTTTAGCTTAAAATAATGAAGCAGTGATGAAAGACTCACAATTAGTGTTACAAATTCATCCCTCAATTATCTATTCTCCTTGTCCCCATTGGGTTGGTTGAAGTCGAGAATTTAATAAAAATTATTGTTATCCAGGGGTTTTCCTGGCTCAAATTGAAGAAGAGCTGGTACCATCCTGACTATGCGGACTCACTTGCTTTTACAGGAAACGTACTTTAAGTTAGTTACCCTCATAGGTGAATGATGGACTCATCGCTTGTGTGGTGGGGCCACAGATTATTTTGAAGCAGCATTCAAGTGCTCTGTCCATGTCCACCTGTGCTGCAATAGCACGCTGCAGTGTCCTCTGTTTAATCCATCCGTCCATCCGTGGAATGTGGGGGGAAACCGGAGTCCCCGGAGAAAAATTTTAATTTATTTAGCCACTGCTTGTCAAAGCCACTGGCTTGTGTGTTTTGAAGATGTAAATGGAAAATGTACTGTCACTTATACAGTGAAACTCCTCTACAACGAAATCATGTTTGCAGCAAGAAATTTTTCACAACAGGGGGTTTTTCACTGTAGCAAATTTGATCTCAGATGTAAGCACACACACACCCACACACACAAACGTATGTGTACACGCACACACAAACGTTTGTGTACTCTATTTTTATTCCAATAGTACATAAGTATGAGCACACACTTATTTGACACTTCATATTGTCAGTGTAGAAAGAAAAAAAGGGAAAGAAATTGCGAAATTTACGATCAGCATTCACTTTCACTTACATCAATTTCTTGGAAAATGTATTTTATTTTGCTTGCTCCGTCTTTCATTTTGATCACTTTTACCCTCTCTTCCAGCATCAGAGCTCTTCTTGTCTTAGCTGCTTGACATCAAAAGGTCCGTTTTGTAGCCATTTTAGCAATGCAACGTCCATCCTCGTCTGAATCTAACAATAACAAATACTTCCTGGCATGCAATGAACTTTTAAGCCAGCCACGGGGCGCTTCGTAGTCCTCGATGGCCATAGTTAGCTCTCGAAGACTAAAAACCTTACGCTAACTGGAGCGCTTCTCTCTCATTAGCGCTCCAGTTAGCGTAAGGTTTTTAGCCTTCGAGAGCTAACTATGGCCATCGAGGACTACGAAGCGTCCCGTGGGTGTTTTTAGCATGATAAAAAGTAAAGTAAATGTCCGTCGAGCCATAAGCAATTTACTCTGAGCAGCTAATCGGATGCTACGGATCTAGCTTCAGTATCTACACACATAGACAGTGAGGTCTATGTGACCTCTTGGCCAATCGGAGGCCAGGATGAATAATGTTTCAATCACGCACGCATTGACTTTGCGGTGCGGCTTTTATTTTAATAAACATTGCATGCGTGGATGCAAAAAAAGGCAATATTAAATGACCTGTTTGTGAAATCCGCTAAGGAAAATCAGGACGTTGATAGCACTCATGAGTGTATGAGTGTGATCTGTTTCTTCTTCGGTAGTTGCTTCAGGTCTTTCCTGTGCACTGCTGTTGATGTCGCACCTCCTAAGAGCTGCAGCTGCAGTTAAAATACAAAGCTGCTGCAGAGGCACATCAATCCCTCAATCAGCACAGCTGGAGTTTTACGCTGTGTGGAGTGATATCAATCGGTCGACACGCAATGTTGAACGCAGGAAAAACTCTATCCGACTACTGTATTTTCTGCACTATAAGGCGCTTTGGAGTATAAGGTGCACCTTCAATGACATTTTATCTTGTGTGTATGAACGCATGCCGCTCCAATTACTTCTGTTGCTTTGTCAATTCTTAGGTGAATACAAGACCTAACCCAGTCAATGACTGTACACATGGCGTGACAGACGCTATGGCAAACAAGAGGTAACCCTCAGGGAAAAAAGTTCAGCTGAGAGACCGATTAAAGCTAAAAGATGGAGTATTTGTGTCAATACAACTGTCTTTTATGTGATTCAGCTTAAAGAAATCATCTGCTGAGTTAAAGAGGATCTTGACAACTGGGCAGGTTAGTTTGTTTTGATTTAAGTTAATTCATTCTCTTTGCTTTTTGTGTCCCACACAGAGACCAAATGAGTTACTTGTAAGGTTTTTGCCTTATCTTCCCCTTATTCGACACAGTGCAACCTCGGCTCAGAAACAACCCAGGTCACAAATTGCTTTACAAACAAAATCTTCGAACAAACATTGCTTCACTAACAGGATTTGTAACACTTTTTCTCACAGCATAAACATCGTTCATGTGATGTGTCACGTTTCAGGTGACTTTGTTTTTTGCTGTAAATTAACCTGCTCAGCCCAACCAACCACATACATCCTTTCAAGTTTGCAATTGATCGACTGCTAGTAGCCAATGACAATAATTTGAAGGAAGGAGGGACAGACACACAAACACTAACTTCCATTTGCAAGTTTAAAGTGAGCAAGACATGGCGGTGTGCCATACAGTATACACAGTCCACATATATTTAGTTTTACAATGATACGTGACCATATTTATAATTTGTACCGATAGATTGGATATTGAAATTTGTTTCTAAAAATGAAATGGAGCGGTGCACACCTTGCCAGTCCATTCAAGTGAATGGGAGTGAGCTTTCAATATAGCCATACTTTCCTCTTTATTATCAGCTTGTCCTCTTTTCTGTGTGATCCTTGACTGACACTGTATGTGGATTAAAAAAAGTGATTTTTGCCTCTTCCTTTGCATCAGTCCCTACTATATTACTACGGTATAGCTTGTTCTTGTTACATTTCAGATAAATGCCCAGGATATCCAATACCAAGAACAGCTTGGACAAGGAAATGGAGGGACGGTCTACAAGTAAGTGTTTCCTGGCTAACACAACGAGGTACTGATCCTACAAAGTTAAAGCGCAATGCTAGGTATTGACTCTGAAGATAACATTCTGGAGGTGGTTTACGCCTCGTGTCTACTTCCGTCTGTCCATACTGAAGAAGCTGACTTTTTGGAACCACACCACCACCACCACCACCCCTGTTTTTTTGGGAGGGTTGGGGGGCATCTATCAAGCAAGACGATGTCATTTATTCTGTTGTGGAGTTTACAAATATGCAGTCGACTGAGGCTATGTGGTTGACAGTGATTGACTTAATTGGCCCATATTTACTAACCATTATCTGTCATACAGTAGAGCAGCTCTGTCCTCACTGGCAAGACGGATGTATTTTATTTATTTTATTTATTTTTTTGCAGCAAAAGTTATGACAGGAACGCTGCTTCTGTCCTTCTTTCCCCCTGCTTCCTTGTTTAGTCTTTCCATCAATTCACCTACATTGAGCTGTTTTATTGAGATTGAAGTATTGATTACTGCTCCTACTAACCTTGACTCAGCCAAGTGTTCTCTCACATCCACAGCAAACCCAGTAAATTTCCAATCGAGCAAGGCCACAGTGCTGTCTATTTATTTTCTCTTGTCTCAGTCCAAACAAATTTGACTCTTTTATCGCTTTGAGATTGTTTCATTAAAGTCCAACCTCTCATAGTTGTAGGACAAACAGAATGTTGATGTTTAGTGGTACAAATGGTTACAGTACACGTGCGAAGGCCAATATTGCAAATCCAACAACTTCTCAGTCAATTTAGCTCTGCACAAAATCCATATGATTTGGTGCTGAAAATTTTATGGTTGGGAGAAGAGGGGGAGAAATACATATCTAACTTGTTTTGCTGTTGTGCACTGTTTTGTTGAAACGTACTTAATAGAAGCAAAGCATATTTTTTAATACTGTAAAAGCACATTTCATACCCAAAAAACAAAAACAAAGTCAAGATTTAAATAACAGGGAAATGAATACATGGTAAAATGGGAATAATTTAAAAACGTTTTTAAAATGGTCCCAATGTAGTTCGATTGAAAAACTTGAAAGTATAGGATAGAATTCTAATTAAATGTAGACTTTAAAAAACTATAACTACGGTATTCTCTATTTATGCCCTTCAACTAGCTCATGTCTAGTTTTTGTTGTGCTTATCAAGTGTGAAGGCATCACTAAAGGCTCCCCACCTTTTAAACCTTTACCCCTTTTATGACCCAGAGCCATTTGGACTCAATTGGATGTTACCAACACCTCAACTCTCTAAAGCCACACAACCTGACCTGGCCATCCATCAGTGTCTGGCTTTTTTTTTTTTTATTAGACACTCTCTCAGCAGTCCATCTCATCCACCAATTTAACTCATTCTATGTTTATAAATGCGATTACAAGGACGTACAGGCTGTCTATTCCACTCTTGAATACAGAAGTACAATTAAAACCAGCACATTAGCATAGCTGTGGCAGTGGCAACATCTACTGAGACACTTTTCTTCAAGCCTCTTCATTTTCTCTCTTGGTTTAATTTTGTCACCACATTGATTACATTTTATGGTCAAGACTCCAAACTGGTTAGTTTCTTGTTCACCTAGTACCTGAATTATTTAATTTGTGCCTTGATACTTTTGTTGGCGATGTACCTGAAGGTCATCTCTTTGACTTCACATTAGTGTATGTGAACAAGCACACATTCTAGAGAAACAAGCTACTTTTGAAATAGTTCATTCTATACATAAATATCCTAACTTCTGTATTGCTAGGGCCTTTCACAAAGTTTTCTGAAGAATACATATTGTACTCACATCCCTGTTTGTGTTTAGGATTTGGCCTCTATGTGTCATAAATGAAGCCATAATAGCTGTCAGCTAGAGAGAATGGTGGCCCATCAACCACGCGGCAGTTTAAAAGTACTGCATTAGCCCTGATCCAGAAGGCCAGTCTTTCTAACATATCGCCCCAACTTGAGACACATTGCAAGAGGGCCTATGAATACTGCATGATGGAGCTTTTATTACAGAGGAGCTAGAGTGTAAATAAGATCCAGGCAATGAGGCACATTTACTGGGGTCAGATCAAGGAGGAGTGATGGTGGGGTTGCTACGTAACCTTGTCCCCATCTCTTCCGCTGTCACAGGCCTGTCATTGTAACTCATACAAGAATGTTGCCCTGAGGTGGTCAAGGACAGTCTTCTTTAACCAAGCCGTACCATTTATTTATCTTTATAACATCCTTGTATAACACTCTCAAAAATCCAGTGTGTCTCTCCTGCCATTCTTATGGATTCTGTCTTTCAGAGTTCATATGCAGTTAACTTATTATTGAGATGGCTTTGAGTCTCAATTCATTGGGATGTAGTACATTTTGAATTGCTGCCCGAGTGATATGAAACAGTGCTCCCAATCTTCAATTATAACCGCCCCGACATTGGACAACATTTCACTGTAGCAGCCCTAACAAAATGTGCTTCTAAAAGTATAATAAAACTGAAAGACATGTTTTTTTGTTCATAAAATGGCACCGACCACTGAATTTTCAGACGACTTGCCCATCATAATAATATCCAATATCAGTTTTGAGATTGACACTGTCAAACAAGCATTAATTAAGCACCTACTGTATAATACAACAGAGGTCAACAATTTTTACTTTTTTTTTTAATCAAAGATGCAAGTAAACTTTTCCAGATATGTTTTTTGTTTTGTACTGGGTGCATATCTGCCCTGATTTTTGGCTAGCACATCAGGTTTTCATAATCATAATAATAATATAATAACAATAATAATATGTACTACCGGTAATATATTTCCTAATATTTACTAATTAAAGTTTAGGTTCAGGAAAAGATGGATTTTTTTTTCTTTCTGCAAGATCATAGCTATTACAACCCATAGTAAAATTGGTATTGCACAAGCTTATTTTTTTATAATACCGGTACATACAAAAACAATAAAAACATTAAAAACAAAAAATGGGAAAAAAAATTAAAAACCTGATGTGCTCAGAAAAAAGTAAAGATTTTTTTTATTTTTAAATCAGTTCCAAAAATATGTTTGGGGGCACATTAAAGCAATCTCTCATTAAAATTTGTTATTGTATAATGAGAGCTGGTATTTATAATATTTTGGTTACTTCAATTCATTGCTTTTGTCACAAATCGAATCTCGGTATGATGCATTACAGTTTTACACCACTGCAAACAGCAACCTCAAAAATAACTATTATCAAATGTAAACCCTTCTGATGTGGTGAACTGTAAATCAGAACTGAACATGATTGTTTTAAATGCTAAATATTTTACGCAGCTCTTGTTGTGATATCATTGCAGTATATTGTGCAAGCGGCCATAATGGGTTTGGTCTGTTCAGAGACCAATCATTAGTCCAAACACATTCAAGCAAAATTGTAGCAAAATTTCAACACAGAGGTTCAGCCACATGCTTGGTAACTCAGGCTAGAATAATGGGAGGACTCCAGATAGTTTGTTTGATAGCTTCCACAACCTGCTCATTCAGCATTAACTTTTCTACCCCTGCGATGTAGCCTCAATTAACATCCTCGTTTTAATTACGAGGCAGCAGTCATGCTTAGCTGATATTGATTGTTGTGTAGAACAACACTGAGACATCAACGGGAAAACAAGGACATCAGCCTTTTGTGAAAATTGCTCTTTCATGGAGAACATGACACTACTGGTCAAAAACACTCTTGGGGCTAAAATAAATAACTCTGTGTATTCATGAAATTTAATTTTATAGCACATTGCACAGACAAGGCAACTCAATATTGTCACGTAGCGAGGTGGTGGTGGACCCCAAAAAACAGGCAGGAGGGAGGAGCAGGGTGTACTTGAAAGATTGTATTAAAACTCAGAGAAAACGAAATCCAAAACAAACAAAGTCCAAAGTATCAAACAAAACACACGACTGAAGATAAAACATAACACTGACCAAAACATGACTGAAACAAACATGACAGCAACACAAAGCAACAAACAAACATGACAGTAGCACAAAGCAACAATGACCCGACAATGATTGCTCGGGCTGGGAGTCCTTTTAAAGCCACTAATTACCTAATGACCAACAGGTGTGCAGCTGCAGGTGAGCCCTACAGTGCCACCTGTTGGTCCCAAACCGAATCATGACAAATATGCTCAATTTGCGAAAGGACATCTCTGCAACATTTTAAATTAAAGTACACCCAATGTCAAATTTAACAATTCTGAAAATTTGTCCAAAACACAGTAGCGATACTTAATTAAAACATAACACTGACCAAAACATGACTGAAACAACAGCCTAATGTTGCACTGGCAATGTTGATAAAGGGCTGAGCCAGTTTGTAGGTGTCGAGCCAAGAAGCAGTCTGATACTCGAGTCTCGGTTAGTGTTGTTACACAATGCACATTCTGCTCAGAATACGAACTGGCAGGTGAGAAGGCAGATATACTCGAGTAAATCATGTGATATCTAGATCCACATTATGGCTGTTTTTACACCATGTTCATTTTTGATGCATGTGTGGTGAGAGGTCATTAAGTATTGTGACTGGCAAACTATTCATGCAGTATACTGTAACTTATCCTCTAGTGCGGCATTAAGGACTTCAGTCATTAAATCATAATAGGGCTGTTCTTTGCTTCTCTTGCCACTATAAAAGCAGGACTGTCTGCAATTGCTGCAGTGCAGCCAACTCGCACAACCTCCTGTCTTTTCTTATGAAGTTTCGCTGCATCATAGGCACTGTTGGCTTCCTGATTGTAAGCGTCCTTTACAAAAAGAGCACAAAACTTATGCTTTCTAACACCGTACTTACATGGTTTAAATCCTATTTAGAAAACAGGAAGTTTTGTATTAATAGGTAACTTTAAGTCTAAGCAGTCAGCAATCACATCTGGAGTTCCACAGGGCTCCATCTTCGTGCCGCTGCTATTTAACATTTATATGCTTCCATTGGCTCAGATAATAGAGATCAATAAAATAGGTTACAACTATGCGGATGACACCCAATTATACATTACAGTCTCTTCACAAGACTATGGCACTCTAAGTTCCCTGACAAAATGCATTGAGCAGTTAAACGAATGGATGTGCCCAAATTTTCTTCAGCTGAACAAGAGCAAAACGGAGGTTATTGGTTTCGCAGCCAAAGAAAGAAGATTGGAAGTCTGTAAATGGCTCCACTCATTACATCTTAAAACACAGAGTAGGTGAAAAACATAGTCATCGACTCAGATCTCACTTTTGAGAAGCACTTAAAGATGGTTACAAAGCCTGCCTACTATCATCTGAAGAATATGTCATGGGTAAAATAGTTGATGTCTCAGCAGGACCTGACAAAACCCATCCATGCATTTGTCAGAAGTAGCCTTGATTATTGTAACAGTATCTTTACTGGTCTAAAAAAAAAAAAATCGATCAGACACCTGCAATTAATTAAAATGCTGCTGCTCGAGTCCTAACCAAAACCAGGAAAATGCATCACATCACTCCGGTCTTGAGATCATTACACTGGCTTCCCATCTGTCAGAGGATAGATTTTAAAATCCACCTTTTAGTGTATAAAACTCTAAATAGTCGAGGGCCAAAATATATCAGAGACCTCCTCATTGAATATAAACCACCTAGAACTCTGAGATCATTTGAGACTGTTCTACTCTATGTCCCTAGAGTCAGAACTAAACATGGATAAGCAACATTCAGCTTCTATGACCCTCATACTGTATCTGGAACAACTCCCAGAAAACTGTAGATCAGCCGAGACACATGAGTTTCTTGAAATCAAGGTTAAAAGCCCATTTGTTCACTTTTAATTAGATGATCTTCAATGATTGTTGAACCAATGAATCAGTGCTGAAGCAGAAATCAAATGTTTTTGCAATATTTTTGTCTTTGTTTCTTTTTTCCCTTGTTGAAATGCCTTTTTTTTTCTTTACTGATGTCTTTTTGTAAAGTACTTTGAGTCACTTTACTGTTGATTTGTGCTATACAAATAAATTTCCCTTGCCTTGCCTTACTGTATGTGACATGCAGTTTTGTTTTTTTTTTTTGTCCTAGAGCGTATCATCTACTCGGCAAGCGTGTCTTAGCTGTCAAGGTGAGACTGAATAACATTCATACCACAAATATATACGGTCTATCTATCTATCTATCTATCTATCTATATATCTCTCTCTCTCTCTCTCTCTCTCTCTCTCTCTCTCTCTCTCTCTCTCTCTCTCTCTCTCTCTCTCTCTCTCTCTCTGTATGTTTTTCTCACATTTGAAAATTTTTTTCGATTAGTTACGTATGTCAAGTACCTTAACATTGAAGAGTTCATTTCGTAAATAAAAATACGAAATGAACAGTGTCAGTTTACCTTAAATTCAATGATGACTACAGATAAGAAAAAAAGGTCAACAAATTGAATCATAACTGAACGCATGACAGAAAAAAATTATTGATTTGTAGTCTTCATGGTAATGGACTCCTTACCTAGCAATATTGTATATGGGGTGGGATGACCAGATGCTCACCTGTATGCGAAACCGCTGTCTCCTTAAAACTGGCCAACTTGAAGATGACAAAATAGGATCTGTAAAGTTTGATATAAATGGGTTCACAGAAGAATCTTTTTGTGGTTCTCAAAGGGACACCAAAAGTTGTCGCTTGGTCCTCATTTTCTTCCCGATCAATCGACCGCAGTGGCAGTTGCAGTTGAAGGATTTATTACTTTTACTATTAATTACTCCCTCACTGATCGAAATAGCTTCGAGCAATATCTTAAATTGTTCTGAAGATGTGTTCACGTTGTACAATTTAGTACCGTACTCAATTAAATTGATGCTTCATCAAAGGCATAAAAATAAAAGTAAGATAGACAAATCTTGTATTTTCTTGTCAACATTCGGAAATTAACGGGATGGGATCGCACTCTTGCCTCTCTGAACACACACATTTTAAGAGTATTTCACGGGTGTCAGAGTGGAAGTCAAAGGCGCCAACTTTCCTCTGTCACCCAATGTCTTGTTATTGCGTTAGATGTTCTAACTCACACATTCTTGGCTATGTCTGATCCGCACGGAACTTTGACAAAAACTAATATGATACCTTACTTAATAAGATGCCTGGGAACAGCTTTAAATTGTGGGAAGAAAAAGCATAAATTGTCTCCTGTAAATGCAGTATCTTCAATTTTGTATTGTTCTAACAGGTAATTCCTCTTGACATCACTGTGGAGCTCCAAAAGCAGATAATGTCAGAGTTAGAAATTCTCTACAAGGTCAGTTTCTGTGAACTTCATTATATTGAATAATTTGATGTCAAAACCAGATTAACCGTGCAGATTTTTTTTTGTTTTTGTTTTGTTTAGTTTTTTTTTTGGAAGGGAGGGGTTGTTTTCATGTTTTTGTTCTGTTAGAGTTTTGGATACCTTAATGTACTTGAAATGTTACATCAACCTTCCATGGGACTACAATGTAGTGTGTATTATCTGGCAGATTTTACATGAATATGCACTGTCCCCATTTTAAATGTGATTGAAGTGTACTTGATGGGTTTTTCTTTCATCAACAGAGGAATACCAACAACTTTGTCCATGTGTGTATATAGAGTGTGTGTTCTTAAATATACTGTATGAAGACAAACATTTCTATTTGTGAAATTGATTCAGCGTGGCCAAAATATAGTTTTGGGCTAGACTCCAAATCTTAAGGTGTACATGCCTCGCGAGTTTCTTGGGACTCCAGAGGTTAAAAAAAAACAACTCAAATACTTGCACTATAATCAGTGGCATTGAAACAACTACTCTCGTTATACCATGCAATAGAGTCAAAGAAACTCTCCCGCCTAGATCTTTATTAGAAAGAACTCGTTTTCTCTGCGAGTCATGCACAAATTATTTAACAGTGCGAGGGTTTTTTTGTCCAGTGTTTTCATTCCTTTTTCTCTCTTGGTTTAATTTTGTCACCACAAAATTGGACTATTCTATGCTTTTTATCAGCAAAAACGGCCTATGCAAAAAATGTGCCTTGAAAAACAGAAAACCAAATTATTTTTGTAACATGACTTACGTTAGTAATTTGGAATACTGTTTATTTATTATGCAATTGTTAATTATTTTTATCCTCATTGCAGTGTGACTCACCTTACATCATCACCTTCTTCAGTGCTTTTTTTGTGGAGAACAGAATATCCATCTGTACAGAATTCATGGATGGTGAGTTTTTCTGCTCCTCTCACCTGCCCTTCGTGTCTCTCCTATGTATCCATTTACACATCTGCTGATCAAAAGAATGTCATGGTGTTGTGAGCTGCTTAGCATGCCGGTGTGCTAAAAGCTACAAGGGTGTAATAAATCCAAACTTGAGTGGAATTCGAGGGGCTTTTATGTGTGTGTCTGTGTGTGTGTGTGTGTGTGTGTGTGCATGCGCACGCCCACCCGCCCAAGTGTCAATCAATGTGAGATGTCTGTAGTTGTGTATCTGTGTGTGTTCACTGTGTTAATGCATTGAATCCCCTGTTTCACACTTTTGCCAAACTGTCAACAAAGTATGTCTAATAGTTTGGCACTTATTTTAAACCTTGACAGTTTATGTATTTTTCGCTTTTCAAAATGTGGATTCTATGATTTTTTTTTTTGGTTTCTATCTAAAAAAAAAAGTCTTCATATTTTTCAGATTTTAAAAAATGGATTTTTAGCATTCTTTTTGTCCACAGAATACAAAATTGTGAGTGCATATTTATGTGCATAATTAATGAAAAGATTTTGGGGTGAATTTGTGACCCATTCAGACATTGAATTAATTCCCATCCATGACTGCTTTTTGTTTTTTTTTGTTTGTTTGTTTGTTTTTCTTTTTAATGAAATTGTAAATGACCTTTTGGTGCATTGTAAAGTATGTCATATTAGTTAAATGAGGTGTTCATTGCCAACTAAGGGTGGTTAAAAGCCAGTTCTGTCAGGTTCGAGACCGAACTGAATATTTTTAGGATCCCAGAAATGCAGGCTCAGACAAACTGCGATAACAAATTATTTGCAGAAAAACGCACCTACAAAGTACAAACAGAAATCGCTGGTCACAAGGAGCCAGGAAAAACAAGGCCTAAACAAAAAGCGCATAGTATGCTTTTTTTTTTCCCCCTCAAAACTTGTAACCAGTTCCCAGATATCTTGATAACATGTGTGCAGCATGCGTTTGTCAAAATACCCCACAGATGAAGAATTTACAGATATATTTTAGCATATTTTTCGCCACTGTGAAATCAGCTCGCTTTAGGGGATGATCAGTCTCCATCTCGCTCCTCATACTGCTGTGCCAGCACAGCTTTGGTTAGAACAACCAGTGGCTTCCAACTTGCAGGCGTTTTCACACACTATCGCAATGTCACTTGTGAAGGCACCTTTTGATCACCAAGACACCGAAACACACTTGTCAATTGATGTAGCCATGTAGCGCATGACATCGTCAAACACAAATACGATCCACCCAATACATCATAAACCTAGCCGAACATAATTTTAGAACATTTTCAGAGACTCATGCCGATTGGACTGCAGCTCAGTCGCCATATTAGAATGGTTCTCTGTCGAGTCATCGGTGGAGATACAGTGCTTAGCGTGGCGGTGGTTATTATGTTAATTAGCCCCACTGTTGTGGGGGACGCAAGTGCAAAAGGTCTCCTGCACAGACAAGAATTTTCATAAACCGGCAGATCACAGAGTATGTACTTGGTTGTTTAATTTCACACTTGATGGCTGGGCAGGCAGTCTTAGCCCAGAGTCCCAACTATTTGCATAGAACCAATAAAAAGTCAATTTTCCATCATATGTCCCCTTTAAGATATAATGGAGTGATTGTTTTGGGGTAAATGAAATAGCTCTTTTTCCAATACAGGTGGTTCACTTGACGTGTATAAAAGGATTCCGGAGCATGTCCTGGGAAGGATTGCTGTGGCAGTAAGTTTGAATATATCTAGCTGCATTCGGAAGTTTACATACACTTAGGTCTGGGCGATAAGTATTTGAGATGCATATATATTTATTTTATTTTATTTTTTATTTTATTTTAACTATTGAAAATAATGACTCGAGAAAAAAAGGCTGAATTTATGTAGTTTCATTTTAACATGATCTTTAACCTTAAATAAGACGACAATCCATAAGATGAAAAAGTGAAACGAAAAGATCAATAAAAACATTAAATAAGCTCCTCTTTAAGCATAATGTGCTTCGTGGGGCTGGGCAATATGGCTGAACAATTTCTACAATATAAGTACAGTATTTCCTATCAGTCAATATTGATAAGTATTTCTTTGCAAAATAAGAAAAACAATTAACCGTTTTTGTTTACATTGAAATGTAGTGTAATGTGCTAAGGTTGATTTAAAAAAGAAATTGCGTTAGATGCTACCCCAAAGCAGCATCGTTGATAGTTACACTAGCACGTCAAAGATAGAGAACTCCTTTACTTATACACAACGTATGTATCCATCCTTAGATATTGAATCAGGTTGTAGGCAGCTGCGCGCTGCCTACAACATGCACAATCCCGTAGTCGGGGCTTTACGATTTTTTTCTCTCAATCATTTTATTAAAGGCATTTTCCATTTCTATTGCGATACATATTGATATTGAATTATCGCCCATCCCTACATACACTAATCGTGGGCATGAATGTTATATTATTTTGGGGTGATTTGTCGTATACAGTATTTGAACCATTCCCTTTTCAAGGCGGCAGGATTATGTAACAATTGTTCAATTGATCACTCAGTCAATTTCATGTTTTCCATTGGAGTGGTAACATACTACCATATTTTCAGCGACATGCTACACAATGCTGGCGGTGTAGGCCATACCACTCCTCAAACTGCTTGCAATTTAAAGGGACAGTGTATCCCTCCCGATGAAAAAATATCTCAAACGACATAAGTCGACCTTGGCACTGGCTCTTTTGTTTATAATGGATTTCTTAAGTCGCTCTTGGCATTTAATGAGTTAAGACTTATTGAAGAGGAAGGAGTGATTGAGTCAACATTTTTAACCAACCCCACAAAATAAAAGGTGATTTCATCTATAAAATAGGTTTACCAAAAGCTGTATTTTCCAATTAAAGTACAAGAAAGGAAACCCAAGTGTCAAAAGATTAATTAGTCTCTATTTAGTGCAGTCCTGACAACAGTTATTTGCCTGAATGACCGCCTTTTTTTTTTTTTAATCGCCCGTTTAGAGTACCTTGTCCTTTTTATAGTAATGGCCCTGATGTTATGTGAATGTCCCCTTAGAACAATCATTACCATTCTCCTGTCGCTGTTCCTCTATTCTGTCTATCTCCCATTTCAAACCTTGTCATCAATGACAGCTGTTATTTCTGTGTTAATTCGGTAATTTACAACTTTGCCATCTTAAAACCATCACAACTTTTAATTATCACGTGAGAGGCACCCAAGAGGATCTGAGTAAAGAGCTACACATCATTCTCACCACTTTTTCGGCTGCTTGACCTCAGACAATTCCTTTTGCTTTTTGGATGGTCAAACAGCTTCAGAGAAAGCTCCTGCTGCCGGTCGTTGTGTTACTTTTTACAAGTGGTGTAGTTTTTCCACTTTGTGCTGTTGAAATGTTGTCCTAACTGCACTTTTTAATGCCGTTCAGGAGAGACTCTCTTCAGCTCAATTAACTCTCAGTGTCTGCACTTAGTGACTAATTCAAGGTTTACAGAGCCAAAAGTTTGACTAATGAAAGAGTGGCAATCATAAGGTACACACAAATGGAAACTTTATTTTTTATGACACTTTGTCTTGAACCAACAACCATTGCTTGTTTTTGTCCGCTGCCAGACTAACCAATCCTCTCATCATCATGGCCAGTTAATGAGACATTCACAGTCAACAAAAGGGACTTGCTTTCGTTGAGTTAGGTTCAAGACAATTGCAGTTATGAGCCTGTTCTCACAATCATTCTATAGGATACCTGACAAAAATTAATAGACCATCCCAATTTATTAGTCTTATTATCTGAAAGGTTGAATGACATTAAAAAGTAAAAAAAAAAATTTGTTTATTTATTTATTTTTCTTTCCGGTGGACAGGTTGTGAAAGGCCTAACATACCTGTGGAGCTTAAAGATACTTCACCGAGGTGAGTGAACTTGGGTTTGGGCTTCGTGTTGCGAAAAGATGCCGAGTTGATAAAGATCAGTGCCGGATTGCTGATGTAGCATTTGTATCACGCAGTTTCTCTCCGCAGATGTCAAGCCCTCCAATATGCTGGTGAACACCCGAGGACAAGTCAAGCTATGCGACTTTGGTGTCAGCACTCAGGTACACTCATTCGTTTGTTGAATGCGAGAGAGGTTGGTAGTTGGGAGTGAGGGAAGAGTTACTTTTCTACTATTGTGCAGTCCTTTGTGCCTGTGGTCAAGCTGTCAATCACTGCATTCATTTTTGGCCCAGTGCTTTCCCAAGGGTCTGTCTCGTACATTCACATTGCTCCATCCCATTGTTCTGCACCCTTCCAAAAAAAAAAAAAAAAAAATCTCGTTATAATTATGACCACAGTCGCAACTGCAAAGCCTCATTGATATGCATTCAGGAGAGGTGGAGGAAAGCGTGGGCGACAGACAATACCCCTTGTCATTGTGTCGGTGTGTTTTTTTTCTCAGTCTGTCTATCTGTGTCTCTATGGAAAATGTTGCAATATGTATGCAAGCATTTGGGACATTTATCTGAATACCAAACCTGAATATCTGTTGACCTCCTCATACAGACACAGAACTGTTGAAACTGTGTTTAATTTTTAACCTCAAATGTCTTGTTTGTTCCAAGGTGATAGATAGACTGTGCTTACTGTCTAACATAACACAGTTAACTCCTCTCTGCTCTAAAATGATAACAGCTCTCAGGGATTTCATTCATTATCACTGTCAATATTTACAGTTGGTGAATTCAATTGCCAAAACATATGTGGGAACAAATGCATACATGGCGGTAAGTGAACTTTAACTACCATGCCTTTTCTCTGACTGTGATCTTCTAACCAGTTATAACCTAAGGGTTTTTTTTCCCTTCCCCCATATTGTTTTTACACAGCCAGAACGCATATCAGGGGAACAGTATGGTATCCATGCAGATGTCTGGAGTGTTGGAATCTCTTTCATGGAGGTATGACAATAAATTGTCTGATTTTCTGAGATTCATAGGTGCCTATGTGTCTGTGTCAGTCTGCGTGTGAGGGCGTGTGCATGTGTGTGTGGAGTCTAGTGAGAGCTGATGATGATGCAGTGAAGCAGTGTTCATTGCTCCCCAGGGTCTTGCTAAAGTGCCTGATTGACAATGTGTTTTCAAATATCATTTAAATTTCAGTATCCCACTCTTGTCACTTGTCTGCCCACTCAGGCTATTGATTCTCAATCTGTTTCTGGCCACAGTAGAACAAATGATTTGCACTTCTGCCTCTGCTTTTTGTGTCAATAATGTTTAATATTATTAAAAGGGGAACAATAAAGATGAGCTTACAGAAAATGAGCCAAGTCAAAATTATTGGCATGAACTCTCTGCGATTGTTTAACCCGGTTTACCTGTGCCCTTTTATTCAATTCATCTTGGCTATGCCTTGAGCTACATGAAATGACTTGCACCTCCTAATCAATTTAGATTGAGATTCACCATCAGCACGTTTCAATCAATAAAAGCTCCAATGAACAAGTGACGTGACAAATGTCAAGTCACCTGTCACTTACCCCCATCTCGACACCCCCCAACCTCCCCTACAAGAAGCATACATCCTCACATTTAGGGCATATTCATCCATCCAGCCATCCATCCATGCCCTCCCAATTATGTTCAGGGTCACTGGGGAGTAAGAACCTATCCTAGCTGAATTTGATTTAACAGCATTCACAACACATTATGGAGGGACTGTGCCAAATATTTTTTGTTGCTGTTTTCTCAAGACTACTGGATAATATTCACTTTCATTTTGTGCTCTTTTTCATACAGCTGGCCCTCGGAATGTTTCCCTATCCACAGGTGAGTTCACACACAAACACACACTAGTTGAATCCACAAAAATACAAATAAAATAATTCTGGTGTTTGAAATCCTTCGATAGAGGAAAAACTACCGGTAAATAACAAATATTAAAATGATCTCCTTGCCTAACTCTACAAACAGTGGTCTTCTCGAGATGTACGTCTTTTCAAAATTTCATCAACACAGTCAAACTAATGTTAAATAGAACTGAGCATTTGTAGCAGAAAAGTGACTTTGTTAGTCACCGTTCAGGGGAATAATGAAGGATTCTAAAATGTCATTAGATGTCCTCTCGAAAGCCAAGGATGAAGAGGTTTGGATCAACTAGATTGTTCTTTAGTTGGGTTTTTTTAAATTTTGTTTTTTTTTGGGGGTGGGGGGGGGGGTCCATACACGCTATCTTTGATTTGAGTGCAGCATTTTCTCTCATTACATTACCTTAAGTCCCGCTCAGATGTAATTGCCGACCACAGAAGTGACTTCCCAATCTCATCAAGTCTTAATTAGCCCTTCAAATGGGTTTATCTCACTAATCTCTAGTTGAGCATTCCGAATCTGGTTACCTCAGATTCCATCTTGGGCCTGTGCACGAAATGATAGCCTGTGGTTTCTATCTAAAGGGTTTAGTCATTCAGCTATGCTTTGTTTTTAAATAATAACTTTCAGGGCATTTCAAGGGACCCATTGTCACTTAGTTATTCGTAAGACAAAGGTTTTTTGTTTCGAGTGTTTCTGCTTTTCTTAATATTTGCTGCTAACCACAAAAACAAAAAAATCCATGTGCTTATTTTCTCCCGATTGTAACTGATTTGTCTCCAGTGTCTACCAAAAATCACTCATTTGTCTCCAGTTGGTTCAAAATGCAGCATTGATGCTTCTCAACTGAGTCAAGCAGACAACAATACTGCACATCACCACAATTCTAGCATTAGTACCTTGGCTTCCAGCTAGTTATAGAATTGATTTAAAAATTGTACGATGACTTTTAAGCCTTTGTAACCTGATAACATAAGCTGCCCACTGTAGTAACCGCTGTCCCTTAAAGTATGTATGATTCTGGCTCTGAGCTACTGAAGCAAACCTTTCACCCTTTATGCGGCAGTCCACAGCCTCAGGTCCTTGGGTGAAGAAGGCTTAAAACTAAAATTTGATAGAGCCTTCTCCATCGTGCCACCTTAATGATGGAACATCCTGCTTGATGAGAAAAAAAGATGCAAAACTGGTGACATCCTGTAATTAAACTCCTAATACTTTTTACAGACTGGCTTTAGTTATGTCCTCTCCTCCAACCTTTAAAAAAAAAAAAAAAAAAAAAAAAAAACGGCCATCAACCCTCTTGGTCTCAGTGTCTTGTTGGTTTCTTCTACAATTCCTTGATTCTTCAGTTTTATATTATAGATGGAATGACAGCTGGTGTCTCTTTGTCCATTTATACTGCAAGTTCACTGTTTTCTGTCAACGCCATTTGTAAGCATCTTTTTAAGGTGCTATGTAATGGATTATATCGATAAAATGTATGACTATTCCTAGCTCTAAAGACATGGTGCAGTTCTTGGTCATGTTGTTGGAGTGAAGCAAATACGTAAAAGCCCAAAAAGTCTTAGTGAGTGTCTTAGTGTCATGCAGCTTTGTAATCTCTTAATTTTTCTCAGCCTCCATATGGTACTGCTGACCGATCACCGGCAGGCTGTTGCCGAGTGGCCTGGCAAGAGGGTCTGGATCTAGCAAGTGAGGCGCAGCTAGAGCCAAAGTCCTCGGGCCTAGGCTGTCGCTTTTACTGACGTTGGCACAGCTGTTCGTACACCCCCCACACACACTCCATTTTCCCAGAAAGCGTTCTATTCTAATCTAGACTGTACTTTTTTTTTTTAGACTGTACTGTAGCGGTAGTCGTTAAAAAAAATACAAAATGATGATACGTGTGTGCGTGCTGACAGTAAATGGTAGCATGAGTTGATACTTGATCAAAGCTCTTTGTAAGGAGTTAATTGAGGCCTTGCTCCACCAGCCAAAAAGTCTTTGACGACACAAGATCTGATGTGTGGACAGCCGACAGCACATTTGGTCCTGACTGACATTTGTTTGCTAAATGGTATTTTTGTTTCTCATTGTGTTGTTTTTCAAGGAATCTTAACGCAACACATTTTTTGTGAATGTTTTCACTTGTTGGAGGTATCCCTACCAAGGTCTTAATTCTTCGTAGTACAATATTAAGGCTATGAAAGGCCATAGAGAGGAGAAGGGAAGGCAGTGTACAAATGGAGCGAACACAAAAATTGTCTGAAACATTGAAGTGCGACAAAAATGCGTGATGCAGAGATGTCCTGTTCCGTGCAGATGGACTTAACAATGTTTATATTCCTAAGTGATAATCAAGCTCAGCGTTCAGGAAAAAAAAGATATGGGGGAGATCACTTTTGATACGTGGTTAAACTTCCCCATATAAAAATAAGTGTTTGGTTATACTTGAATTGGTTTGTGTTCTACAATACAATTTCAACCTCTGAAGCAGTATGCAATTTGGTCCAAGTAATTATTTCAGGGCAAATTACTTTTACATTGTTGCCTTTAATGTGTCTGAATCAGGCAAAAGTGGATATGGAGGCAGTTTAAGAGTCTCTTGATACTTACAGTCTGTGGGAAGCTGTATTTAATTGAGTGAATCAATAAGTGCAGAAATATACTGTCAAAAGAGTTGCATAATGAACAGTTTGATAGGAAACATTATTAGATTAGACAGATATTAGGAGAGCCTCCATCTTGGAGCAGCCATCACTCAGTCAATTAGACAAAATATGAACTTGTTTCTCGAAAAGTTTAGTTTTACTAAGGTGCAAATGGAATTTTTATAAAGGGTTTTTCATGTTATCGCACAGTGAAACATGTAAGGGAAGGCATTACCCCTGTTGACAACATTTTATATACAGCGAAGCCCGCATATTCCACCGTTCAACACTTGCAGATTTTTCTTTCTTTCTTTTTTTGTGGAACTGATCCATAGCTATTTGCTGTAAAACCTGTCTATTCGCTGTCCTGCGCTCAGGCCAAATCAATAAAAGCATTACTTTGAAGCTGTCGTGTGCAATCTCGGTGGTGTAAGTTTTAATTCATTGATGATGTCGTCTGTTTGAGATGTCCAATTTTGTTCGTGGTCCTTGACCGCACTTTGTGCAAAGATGAAAATGAAAGTGAATGATTGGTTTTGCTTTTCTCCAGATGTAGCTACTAATTGTCGACTTTACGTGCTTATCTTCAAAGTGGAAATAAAAGAGGACGAAATGATTGTAGAGTAGAATGTGAGTTGCATGAATGCAAGTTACCTTCTAAATTGTTGTTCTCCCTCATTTCTTCCAAAAGTGTTTGTGTATGGGTAAAATTTGAGTGTATCTCTTCTTATATATTTGTCATTTTTAAAATGGTTAACTTCATTGTGTACTTAAATATGTTACTTAATACATGATTTTAATTTTTCTTTTTCATTGACTCCAAACAAATTTGAGACCAGCATCCTGAATCGACTTCAAGTTGCACTGTGTTATAGAATGGCACTTTGAACATGCTCACTTTGACATCTGGTCATGCCGATTGTAGCAATTATTGTACATCTCAGTACCTCGAGATAACCTGCAGGGCAAGAATAAAGTGCTACTCTGAGGATTCACATTAGTGGATCTTTTTATGCCCATTCTCCCAAATGAAAGCAAGGCCATTAACAATTGTGTGTTTTCATTATGTAAATGGTGTTACGCATACCCACAAATTGCCACCAGGAAAGCAATAATTTTCTCCTAGTGATCATAATGTGTCCAAGTGGATCGTCTTGATTATGATATGCTAATTACACATTGCCATATCTCCCTTCTCCGCTTTGTGTTACAGATCCAGAAAAACCAAGGATCTTTAATGGTAAGTTTTATTTTTATTTGTTGTTTCTTTGCAAACTCTTTGAATGAGCTCGCGTTCTCACATTTCACTGGATGAGCATGAACATTTTTGCTCATGATTTCAACTGCTCGTGTTGTAGTCGCTGCTCGTATGGAACGATAATATTCAAGAAAAAAAAAGCGGGAGCTAACGACGACTTTATCTGACTGCCGTGCATTTCATTTATCTACGAAGCTGAATCACAACACTGATTTTCCAGATTGCCAAGAAAATCCCTATCAGCTAACGTGTTTCATCTCCTCTTTCAGCCTCTTCAGTTACTGCAATGCATCGTCGATGAGGTGAGTCGTCGTCTTATGTGCTTTTGCATCTAAAGTCAGTCCTAATGGACCAGAAAGCTTATATTTTGTTTCCTAATGAAGCAAACCTTTCGGGCCGCTGAGCTCCCTGCTCACTCAGCCTTCCACCCAAAGCAACTGCCTTAGGCAATACAACACAATATATACTTGCACATTTGAATGGCAGACCCTTCATTCATTACATCTTATGCACAACACTGCTGTTGTATATTTCACAAAGTCAGCAGCACCAAAGCAGATATAAAAAATATTTTGAGACAGGAACTCGAAGCACTTTCCTCATGTGAAATTTTTAAGATGTAGAATCCAAGTTTACCCTAATTTTAACCGAAAACCAGTAATGTGACTAATGAATTTAACTTAATGATGCAAAATCAACATTTATAGTTGAGAATAACATGATATATATTCACACTGCACATAGTGACAAACATGCTGATATACTGTCTACATTTAATTGATCGTGAACTCCATTCCCTATATATGACATTTCTGTGAATCAAGTCCTCCGGCTCAACATGTCTATGCTGATTGAGGAATATAAATCCGCAAATATTTGAATCCATGGGTGTTGAACTGTATGCCTGGCCCCACTGTAATAGAGGAAATGTGTTTAGTCCCCCCCCAAAAATATTTTTTGGGGGAAAAAAAAAGATATAGGCTGCCAGTTGCACACCCCTGCTCGAAGCAGTGCTTGGAAAGCTGCATCTAAAATGTAAGATCTTCGGAACGTCATAGCCTCCAAATTGTTTCTGTTCTTGTTTAAGCAATGCACAAGCCACAATTTGGAACCAGTTCCTTTAAGCAACACCATAGAAGCTTGTTGGAACAATATTGGGAAGAAAAGCGGGGTGAAACTGAATACGAGTTTCCTCTTCGCATTCCTTTTCCGCCATTAGTCTTTATCCCTTTTGTATGTGAAACACTTCCTTGTCAATTACAAGATGAAATAAGGTCTGTGATTTTCACTTTGTAAAATGCCATTGCTTGAAATAAATGCTAACATAAATAAATAAATGTATATATTTCATATTACCGGTTACTTGTATTTTAAAATAATATTTTGCATCCAGTCTGTGAAGAGTAATAGCTTACTTAGTATTCAAAAATTATATATTTTTTAAATCGGTGATGAATTGTTTTATGAATTCTTTGAAACATTTTAAAATGAAAATGCAAAATTTGAAAACATAGCTCAGTTAATTTGTTATCATAATCTTTAACGATACATTGTGGGGTATAATGAAATGATTGGTCATTACCTGAGCCCTAAGTAACTGGGATGTCGTCGGAAATGGCAAAGTGGCCGCACCCTGAGATGGATAAAACCGTATTTTCTCAACTCAACTCAAATGTATTTATAGAGCACTTTCAAACAGCTATCGCTGCACACAAAGTGCTGTACATGGAGCAACTAACATATACAACAGTAAAGCAATAAATCAGTAACAAAGATGGTAGGGAGCACCAAACAGTAAAACTAGGATCAAATCCTTTCGCAAGTAAGAAATTCTGGCTCGTGGTGATTAGTTGACTTAAAAATCGACATTGTAAATGTGGTTTAATGGGCTTTGTCTAATTTTGTCTTGTGGCCTCGCTATAAAGAGTGACTGGACTCAGTGACTATAATAAACAACAATATAATGAATATCTCATGATATGACTTATAAATGCAATATATTACTGTATGTTCTTATTTTTGTAGCAAGTTCCCTCCATCACTGGCTCGAGTCCTTGAAAACTGCTGACTGTTCATGTAATTATTACATTTTGTATGAAACAACTCAGCCAAAGAAATTGTTTTCTCCTTCATGTTCTATGACCGATTGAAAGTGTTTTCAGTTGATTCCTTGAAGTGGAGCTTCTCTGTAGTTGGTCCGACCATCTGCCCACTGTTTGCTCTCATTTATGCTCCTCTTTTCGGTTTGGGTAAAAGCAAGCAGTTCAACTGATAAAGAACTCGCCCTTTATTTTCGAGCCTGTAATTACTGATCTAATTTTGCCTCATAATTGCTTCATGGCAATGACATGTATATTTACTCGTACCCTTTTTGTCATGGTGGAACCGGAGGACTAATTCACATAGATGAGCCACTTTCATCAGCCTTCGTGTCTTTTGTGCTTTTTGCATGTTGCAACATCAAAGCTGCAGCAGTCTTCCTCTCGCTGGAAACATGAATACATGCATGAATGTGTGTGTTTGTTTGATACCGCAAAGGTTAAACGTGCCAATAAATACTACAGGTGGACTTAGATGATTCGTCCTATTTAAACGACTTTTTTTATTTATTTTCCATGTCATATCGTCTATATATTTGGTACACTCATTTTAAAAGCGTGTACTCCCAGGAGGTTTATAGGGTGCAGTGTTCAAGGGTGCACTTGTCCTTGCTTTGATACGCACGTGATGTAAGTTTACATCCATGATATATCATCCATCCCTGTGACGGTAGCGCTGTAAAGTGTAGTGAGATTAGATGGTACCCATTTCTTTGTTCATTTAATCAGTTTCACGCATTGTGGTTTGTGCGAGGTTGTCGATCAGAGCATATGAAATAGAGAACGCTGCCCAGAGAGGTGGTCTTTGTGGCTCAGCAGGGGTTCAAATGTAAATAGGTTTGATACATCAGTATTTGAATACACCTCTGCTTTCTGACCCCATATTTATTTATTTAGTTATTTTGTGTGCCCCAGTCGCTGGTTTCCATATCACCAAATCTAATCTCTATTTTACAAAGCTTTGAAAGCACTGTGCACAAAACATCCATCCATCCATCCATCTTCTTTGCTTATCCATGTTGGGTCACTGGAGCAACCATCCTAGCTCATTCAGTGCCAGCTGTTTTTCTCAAATTGGGAGACCCTGTGCCAGCCATTTTTGACCATTTTGACTAATTTTTGAAAGCCCACAGAAAATTGAGTTCACTAGTTCAGGGGTCGGCAACCTTTGACACTCAAAAAGCAGTTTCGGTTTCCATGGAAAGGACAACGCATGGAGCCGCAGCCGCATCCTACCATAGGCCAGGAAGCTTGAGGGTTCTGCGCAGTATCCATGCTGTTCCCAGCCAGCACTGCACATTTCTGGACTGAGATGTCCGATGTTGTTCCCGGGATCTGTTGCAACCACTCATCTAGTTTGTGGTCACTGCCCCGAGTGCTCCGACCACCACAGGCACGACTGTCACCTTTACCTTCCAGGCTCTCTCCAGTTCCTCCAGATATATGGACACACAGCTATTCTGCCTCGATTTTGGATTCTACTGTATTTACTTTAGCAAAAACAAAATGTAATTTGTTCTTAATAAATTAGGGTAAATTTAACCCCCTGGTTCTAAGGACAACTGTTTTCTGACTACCATCCCCCTCAATTTCATGTTGGATAAGATAATAACCACCAATAATAAAAATACGTACAAACACCACCCATAAACTTCATAGGTCTGTATTTATTATTATTTTTTTTTATTATCTTCAAAGGATCCGCCAGTTCTCCCTGCAGGACAGTTCAGCGAGATGTTTGTTCACTTCATCACTCAGTGGTAAGTCAAATGTTTCTACAGAGATGTCATTGTTGTCATCTGAATGTATTCACCACTTCGTTACAGTCTCGTACACATTTTCATTGTCCACTCAATGTTGCTCTGTGGGAATTTTAATTGTTTTGTTTTTAAAAATATTAATTAACTTTGTAATCTAAATGACTAAATGTTACCGTATAAAACCCTGCAACTGACTGGTGATCTGTCCAGCAGTAAGTACCCCCACCTCTCACCTCCATGCGATGCAAAGTATCGAAAATGGGTGCTTGAGTGGATTATTTTAAGGATTAGAACATTAACAGTACAGTACATATCTTGTATTGAGTAGATTTTGACTGCCTGCTCTTTCAGCATGAGAAGACAACCCAAAGAGAGACCTGCACCCAATAACTTGATGGTAAGTTAAACCAATTCCCTCTATTAAACGGTTGCAACCTTCAAAATAATCACATTGAGAGTCTGTATATAAGGTGTTATCATATTCCTGCGCCCCGGTTAAAGTCAATTAAAAGTTCATCATCGCTTTCACTTTTGTCTACAACTGTACTTTTTGAAGTTGCAGGGTTCGCAGTCAAGGACCTTTAAAATCCGTACTGCTGTGTTATAATAACATGAATGACTTCTTGCTTGGAATGAAAAATGTCACGGAGGTCTGCAAAAAACCTTGAGATGGGTTTAAGGTGCACTTCAGCAGTAATTTATTAAATTGGGACTGTGTTGATGATTCCGCCCAAAGTACTGTTCAAGAGTTAATTAAGTGTACTTTGACCATTTTTAGCAGACACAAACAAATCTATCAGCAGCATCTTTGCCTGTGTATATTTGTGGATTATTATGCAAAATAATTTTTCAAGAGTCGGTCACAATTTTAGTGTGGTTCTCAAATGATTACCAAGGATTGTTGTTTGGTTCTCATCTGTTCCCACTGCCATGACCTCATGTGTGAATTTAAAGACCTAAAACACAGCTCGGCAAAGTAGGGTTCGCAAACCACATCCAGGCCTTCTACAACTTCTGACCGGCCCTTGCAGTCTTTAAGAAGTAAAAAAAAATTGTGCACGCATATTGGTCGTGAAAGCAAGCAAGATCAGCACTTTGTCTTCAGTGTTGCCAACTTAGAAAGATAATGTCGTTGTTTTGAGGGACTTTTCTGACCATTCTAGCAACTATTTAAAAAATAGTTACTTGTTGATCAGCTTCACCAGTCCTTATGTGCAATCAATTACTCTGTGAAGGTTTTGATCTTAACAGGACGTTTGGATTTTGCATCTTCTCCTTGTGCATGTGTGCCATCTTTCCTAGTCATCTGCGCAGATTCCTGCACTTAAAACCTGAATTAAAACATGAATGTTAGGCTCATCCATCCATCCATCCATTCATTATTCATGTCGCTTATCCTCATAAGGGTTAAGGGCGTGCTGGAGCCTATCTCAGCTGTCATTAGGCAGTAGGCGGGGGACACCCTGAACTAGTTGCCAGCCAATTGCAGGTCACACATAGACAAACAACCATTCACACTCAGTCACACCGAGGGACAATTTAGATTGTTCAATCAGCCTGCCACGCATGTTTTTGGAATGTGGGAGGAAACCGGAGCACCCGGAGAAAAGCCAGGCAGGCCCGGGGAGAACATGCAATCTCCACACGGAAAGGCCAGTATGGGATTCGAATCCTGCACCTCTGCACTGTGAGGCGGACTTGGTAACCAGCCCTCACAAAGACATGTAGAAAGAAATTGTAATATGCAACTCTAATGTGTACAAAATACATGAATACTGACTCATGCTAACACTAAAACGTGGGCAGCAGCCTCAGCATTAATATCATTAACACAGATAGGGGTTCACATCATCACGTCTGTCGCGGTCGATAAATGAATTCAGTCTAACAATATTGTCTTCTAAATGAATACATTTATCAGACATTTTCTTCCTAAATTGGTACGAATGTAGGTAGATGTGATTATATTTATTTATATACACCAAAGGAATAAGCCATCACATTATAGTAGGCCTGCTTTCATCTTTCCCCTTACTTCCCAAAGGTGTTTTACATCCGAAATCTGTAACCTCTATTGTGCACTGTCCAACACAACTTCCAAACTGTGCATGTGTCCTCTGCGCCACAAGGCCGTCATTTGTACGGAGCACCTTTAAAGCGGAGAGACATTTTACTGTCTGTTTTAAGGCCAAGGACAAGTGACAGTTAGGTCCTCAGAGAGCTATGGGGTGAAGTTTTACGTTGTGGGGACAGAGCATTGAAGGGTGTAAATGTGGAGCTGCTAACAGATAGCAAGTTTTCAGTCTGACACCATAGAGGGCTAAATGGAAACCATGGTCTGACACTCATTGGAAGTGAATGTCTCGTGATGAAGAGTTTTTCTTTTAGTAGTAATTTTTTAGGCAGAAGTTAGTTGGAATTGAATTTTCATGGCCGGTTCATCCTTGGGACAAATGATACCTGTATCTCTTCATCCAAAATGCATTCTTGTCATTTAGATTGTTGTTGTTGTTTGTATATATAGCAGATCTGTTTGTCTAATAGATAATTTGATTGGAAATGCTACTTATGATGGCACATGGCCTTCCTGTTTGGAATTTGCATGTCCTCCCCCGTGCCTGCGTGGGTTTTCTGCGTAAATTCTGGTTTCCCCTCACATTCCGTATAAAAATCATGGTGGAGGAATTGATGACCCTGAATTGTCTGTAACCGTGAATGTGAGTGTGAATGGTTGTTTGTGCTCAGCAACTGGCTGGCCACCAGTGCCGGGTGTACCCTGGTGAGGAAAAGCATTACAGAGAATGGATGGATGCTACTTATCGTCTATACATTGAGGTTTTTTTTAACACCAGAATTAAAAAGTTTAGTCTGTGGTCAATAGTCTGGGATAAGCGGAAGTAAATGGATGGGTGGATGGCATCTTGAAACATGCCTTCCATGTTTAGCAATATACATAGTTCTTGTGTTGTTCACTTTTGTCCTACCAAAGTGCCTCTCTGTCATCTACTTTTCTCCTTACCTGTAGTTTTGTCCTCCTGTAGTCATTTTATTTCATTCTTGCTGCTATGGGCCCAGAGATGGAAGGTCATGGATGCCTGCCTTTTGTAATGCCAGTCTGCTGATTGTCTCTCTCTCTCCTCTGCCTCATTCCTTCTTTCCTCCACACTCCTTACTCTGCCTCCCCATTCCGCCAGCCTCCTGAGTCCATTAAAACTCTTTTACCTATTCTATCTGTATGTTAATGTGCCAAACGGCATCAGCCTGTTTTGCTTGTGCAACCATTTGCCTTTAGTATTTATTTTAGCTACTCCTTTCTAGTGGAAGGCAAACTTGTCAAATAATAGTACAGTACATATGCTGGACAAATCAAAATACTGTGTAGTAGTTATCGCATCTTGATTTTATGAGGACCAGGTTTCATGGGGCATGGGGGTCCTATGAGAAACGACCTACTTTTGTGTTCCCAAACATTGATGAAAGGGAGCTTGTTGTAACCTATGGACTGATGTTGGACATTGAAAACGCATCCGGATGTCATTTTGTCGGCCATAGGTTTGAAGAAATCTAAAGTCAGCTGTTTCAAATTGAATTACCCGTCATTTTTCTGGTTTGAAAGATAACTTGATTCAACCCATTTGTCCACGTCTTAAGCTTTTGCAATGAACATATGATGAACCTTCGAAGAGGGGAGGAAGGTGAGTGTGTTTTCTCTCCTTATACTTGTGGACACTCTATTCTGTCATCTTAAGTTAATGGAATTGCTCACTTGAGGGAACTTTCCATTGGCCTGTCTCCAGGAGCTTAACTGCTAGGATTTGATGATCACCATTCCTGTATGAGGTTTTTTGCTTTTGCTTCCAAACAGACCATTCTACAGTGGGCCGGAAGTGCAAGACATATCAAGAAACAACTAAACAAACAAACCAAAAAAAAAACCAACGAAACAGAACAAAAACTAAATGCAACAGCAAATTGAAAAAAAAATGAAAAAACAAATAACTAAAAAGCAACAAAAACTGTAAATGAATGTAATTTGCTCTTGTGTTTGTTGTTTTGTTGGGTTTTTTTCATTTGCTGTTGCGTTCAGATTTTTATTTTCTTGAGCTTTGATGTTGTGTTTTGCTATTTGTTGCTGTCTTTTGCACTTCAAGGCTTCCCCCCCTCAAAAAAAAAATTACACTTCCTGTAAAATTCCCTTATTTTCGCATTTAGCAGACTTCACTGGTCTACCTTATTTTGTCCATGTGCTTATTTTTGTCGATGAAGGCCAGAAAAACAAACGCAAGCATTCAACACAATTACATTATTTGATTGGGATTTGATTGACATGTCATCTCTCCCTCCCGCTCACCCTCATCATGCCTCATTCCCTAGCCAGCAGCCTTCACGCAGCCTTTTAGCACCCTTGTCAATGAAGCTCCCCCCCTCCGCCCCATTCTGCTTCTCTATTCAAAGGCGTGCACAGAAACACATTCAACCCCAGAGACACCAGATGAGCCCCTCTATTTTTCACAAAAGAATCCCTCCCATGTCTGCCTGTTTCCACATTAACACATAAATGTTGTTTTAAAATACAGTTCAGTTCAATATATCTAATTTACTCCTCAATTTTTTTTAATCAAATAAACTCTAATTTTCCCATAGCTGTCTGCCATAAAACATGTTTTCATCTATTTCAGTCTATTTTCAGTTAATGATCATATTTATTTAAAAAAAAAAAACAAAAACGCAAAATATGCAGTTTGTTTGTCATGCCATATTTCCTCTCTACCACAAAAAAACTAAAAACCTCGCACTAACATATTGTATTTTAATGTGCAATTCCTGTTCTTTTTTCTGTTTCTGCGGCGTTTCTTACTTTCAAGGTGATTTTTTTTTTCACTCATTTGTCTACCTATAAACAAGATAACTAGGAGTTGAAGTATGAACACATTTTTATACATCTTTGGGTTGATGTGGATCTTTTTTGGAAGTCAACCATCTGTAAATTTTCAGATATTTTTCTTCATATTGGGAATGGGTTCGATGCCTTTCTCCTGGACACCTTAACAGTTGTTCGGAAGCAGACGAGCCAGCCAGCATCAAGTTTGCTTTTTGTTTCTATATGCTGGACTCACAGTGTTACCCTGCGGTTCCAAAACCCAAATTCTGACAATGAGCTTCCACTTCCCCTTGCTAAGGGTTTAGTGTCGAAGGACAGCTTCATGTGGAGGAATAAAGCTTCGCTTTATTGAAGAACTCACCAGTTCAGTTTCATCTGGATGGTTCTTATAGCAGCGGTTGCTCGGGAGTCTACAGTTCTCACAACCTTGCTTTGCTTTTGTTTTGGGCACACCTAAAATGTGTCTACAGCTCTTTAAATGGTCCGGTCTTTTTGTGCCCGGCAACAGCTCTCAGTTTGTAAGATGATGTCCCTGTGACAAATTCGGCTCACTCACAAGGTCAGCATATCATTGCACCTCATTTGGGTTCCTCATGTGTGTTGTGGGATCTCTTCAGTCTACCCTGAACTTTCCTGTCAGCACCTTGACTCCAAAATGCTTTCATGTTCGACCCATGGGTTTTTGTTGACAAATATCCCATTCACACATGCCGGCGTGCTGCAAGATGGCACTGACGCATTGTCAGTCACGCCATTGGAGCATCATTCAAGTTTCATCCGCTGTCAAATTTTCTCCATAGTTGTTGGAAGCCAGCGGTTTTCTTTTTATCTTTATATGACACAGATTTAACCCAATATTCAACATTAGTTAGAAGACACTGTAGTCTCTCTCATTAACCCGCACTTGTAAAGTTATAGTATAATTACCATAAATATTTGTATGACAACACTTCCGGGTACGCAGGCATCTATACATATAAATGTACACTTCCAATCAGTTTTTAACACAGTTTATCATTCATTAGTACTAGAAAGTGTGTCCCATTGCCTTCCAAACCAGTTTATGATGGAATTCTAGACCTAACCTAACTCACATTCCAAAAACATGAATGGTAGTTAATTGAACACTCTAAATCAGGGGAAGGGAACTCCGGTTCGTCGAGAGCCCAATACTGCCTGTTTTAAATCCCTCCCTACTCGAACACACCGGATTCAATTGTTCATGATTGTTTCAGGCCTCTACAGAGCTTGCTGATGAGCTGATCATTTGAATCAGGTATATTGAAGTAGAGAGAGATCTAAAACAGGCAATATATGGTTCTCGAGGAACAAAAGTTCCCTACCCCTGCTCTAAATTGTCCTCAGGTGTGACTGTGAGTATGAATGGTTGTTTATCTATGTGTGCCCAGTGATTGGCTGGCAACCAGTTCAGGGTGTACCCTGCCTACTGCCCGAAGACAGCTGAGAAAGGTTGCAACACGCCCGCGACCCTCGTGAGGATAAGTGGATCAGATCATGGATGGATGGATAAATAAAAAGATAAACATAACTCAAGCATAAATGTGTGAAATATGAGACACATTCAACTACTGCTAACAAACACACAGGACAGGGATTAACATGCTTACAACTTCATTAATGAAATGCATCGCGCCACAGGATACAAGGCTAGGATACAAGACATGTTACCAGGTAAACAAACCGAGTCTCCAATTGTGGAAATCAACACTGGAGTGATGCACATGTACCCAAGATACAGACACTTTTCAATTGCGTTTTGTTGCTCAACTGTTTCACAGCCTGACAAGCAGATCAATAAAGCCAATAATCACAAATGGCCTGACAAGACATTTTGATAATAAAGTGTTATCTGTTAGTCTTAACTATTTAGGAGCATTGAGTCATCTTCCACTTTGATTTATTTGGGTTTATTATGCGCGCTTCCAAGCTGTTAATAGTAAAAACGATCATAAAAGATATTGCACTTTGGGAGTGAAACTACATCAGGTCGAAAATAACATGTTTATTTTTATTGCTCTTCCTTTTCTAAGCATCGATAAATTATTCTGATGTCAACGGGAAGAAGTATTGTTAGGCCTATTAATGGAAATATTAGCCACCACCAGAGTTTCAATGAAGGAATGTAGATAAAGGAGTCACTGAAGTGTAAGTGAGTTTCAAGTGTCTGTCAAATAGTTACTTGCTGGCTTTTACTGTTGTGCATTGTAATTTTACTCACTGCAAGCTGCTGTTATATAATTCAAGCAGCTTTGTGTAGTGAATAATTCTCCACCATTTCACAGACTTAAGCGTAATTACAAAGTATATTTAAGTAATAGGTCCTTCCTCATTATTTTATTTCAGATTTTAAGCCAGATACAGTGTTCAAACCATTGCTCTTTGTTGCCACAGGGTCAACTTCTTCTAGTTGTTGTTACACTGATAGCGGTTGTACTAAGTTGCCCAACTATTTCCAATATCCCAACATTTTTAAATGCGATGACGTCTTGTGATGTTTGTAAAAGGAAACACAAACCGTCGAAACAAATGGCTCACTGCTACGTCTGAAGTTGCGCTCAGCCGAGCCATCTTTACCTGCTTGCCGCTGGTAAAGTCAAAGTAACCAGACCATTGTTAGTGTGTTGGAGGTGGCTCTTGTGACGTCATTTTCCCCCAATATTGGTTTCATTGTAATCTGTCCGATGGTTATCATGCATCCCTAAAATGCACTCTATTCATAAAGCTGCTTTGTCTTTCCTTGCCCAAGTCATTTGCAAATGAACAGCAGCAACTGTCGAGCCCCCAAATGATCATTTATGTATGTATTTATTTTCTATCCATTCTTCACCCTTTTTACGTCGGGAAATGCGAAACCACACCATGCCATTCATGAAGCTGCTCAAAAGCAATTCTTGTATATACTTTAACCATCAACCCAGTCTGAGGTTCTGGGCACAGTGGACCCTCCAAAATCATGCACAATCAGTTGAGGGTCCTTCAACTTTGAAATAGTTTTTTTTTTTTTGTTTGTTTGTTTGTTTTTTAAATCAGATCCCACTCAGTGACATGGGATGTGTGTGTTAATGGTAGTTCGTCACTGTATGTGCCTTGCGACTGATTGCCGACCAGTTCAGTATGGCGTCTGCCTTCCGGCCAGAGCTAAAAATAAATACATTTCAGGTTTCGAGCTTTTGCTCATAGTTGGGTATGTCGAAGCAGAAATAAGTTGCCCCAGTATGTTGCAGTTGAATAAGTCAAACTTAAAACCAACAGCAGGTCTCACTCAGCTCACCTTTTTAATTTGTCATCACCGATACACCTTTATGAGAAGTCCAGGGGGGGAAATCAGTTGATGCTGAGCTTCTTAGTGGCCTAGTTTTAATTCAAAGTCTGAATTTAAAATTTTTGGCCCTTATTTCCTATATGTCATATTAACAATTCAATGGTTGAAGAGGCAAGCTGATTGTTCAGTTCTTTTTTTTTTCCTTGATAAATTTGTGAACATTTTCTGTTTATCTGTTTTGTGATTATATGGTTGCATCAGAAAAAAAAGGAAAAGGGGCGGAGTACTTTTTGAATGCACGGTAAATAAATAGTACACTATATCACCATGCTGAAGGTATTCATGATTCTTTTTGCTTTCTCCTGTTTTTAGGATCATTCCTTCATCGTGCAATACAATGATGGAAATGCAGAGGTGGTGTCCATGTGGGTCTGTCGCTGCTTGGAAGCGAGGCGAAACACAGCAGGCTCAAGGGCGTAACTTGCGCCTTGATGGACCATGACATTTTCAGCCAGTCCCTTGACCACTGCAAGGCTTCAAGGTCATGTACTGTATGTCCATCTGCACTCTGCAAATGACTCAGTCGACAAGGTTGCCTGTCACTCGATGTTTGAGCCTTTTTGCATCACTTTTGTGCAGTGACAGGAGCTCACATTCTTTCAACTCACTCTTAAGCTTTTTGCATTCATTATGAAGAACCCCCCCAGCGCTGGTCTTCTTCTGCCATCCAGCCGGATGAACAAAGATTGAAAAGGTGATTGGTGATTGGAACTTCAACGTTTAAGATTGCAATATTCTGAGAGTGATGGTGGTTTTGGCACCCTGCTTGTGAATGTTAAGGTGTTTGCCTGGGACTACCAGCCATGTGTGTTCCTCCTCTTCCCAGTGGTATCATTTCACGCTTCAGCAACCATAGCTTGTCTCCAGGATAGCAATATTTTCTGGCAAAATATAGCCATTTATAATACCTTTAGAAGAGGATCCGCCCACTGGTGTCCCAACTCCTTGTTAGTGACAGGAATCGGGGTGTGCGCAATTATTTCAGCTTGACACTCAAATAGGAAATTTGGCTCCTCCTCGGGAGAAACATTTTTAGCGCCAACAGTATTGACCTACCTATTTGTATCAAATCAACTAATGGTACACAACTCCTCGGACATTAATTTATCGCAGCAGCACAAATCAAAATACCCTTTGCCAAGAATATGTGCACTTGCTTGACAATCAATGAAAAGCTTTTTATTCTGACAATCGTTGACCCAATAGAATGTCCAGTCCTCTACCGCTTTGGTCTTGATCTCGATCCTCATTTTCAGAGTGGCTGGTCTCAAAGGATTTTGGATAAGCCTACGCCAAGCATTTTTTTTTTTTTTTTAAGAATATGCATACTCAACTTTAAAAACAGGGTTTCACTCAATTTGGCCATCTTAAATTATCCAAAGCCCTTGAAAGAAATCTTGGAAAGGAAAGACTAAGCTCTGCGGCTCTTTATTTGCTTTTTGTTTTTGCGGCATACATGCAGGCTTGAAGTAAAAAAGAAAAAAGAAAAACACATTCCTGTCCCTGAGGAATCAAATATTGTTACATTCAAGACACTGCTTTGTGCTGTGATGCATCATCCATTGTTTAAAAATAAAGTTGTAATGTGATCAAACATTATGTTCCTGGAGGACATTCATGTAGTATACTGTACTTCCCTTCAAGGAACAGCAATATGGATTTTCCATCAGAAAAAAAAAAAGCTTATATATCACCATATCTACATGCTTTGACCGAATGTGTTCAAGATTCTTTCACTGTTCTAAAGACAAGGTAAGAGATGTGGAACAGTAGCACGTCGTTGATCTTTTCCATTTACTGTTTGTTTTCAATGTCAAAAATTTTGTCATGACTTTGAGTTCAGACTAAGGTCGACTGCAATGCTTGTACTCCATAACTAAAGGAAAAGAGTTGGAACGGTGCCTGAAATTTGTCAACATCTTATTTTTTTTCCTGTAATCCTCAGAAATGACATTTGGTACAGTATCGGCTGCTTGGTCAGATTGATGCTGTTTTAGCGAAATGAAAAAGTGGTTCTATTTGTTTTAAAATGTCTCATGATTTAATGATTGTTTTGCTCTCCACTCTGAGACATATTTTGTCATTGATTTGTATCACAATCCCAAACCTCATTTAATAATGTTTATAATTTTCCAAACAAAAATCGAAGTCAACTTCGGTGTGTGAGAGAATTAGTTTGGCTGAAACCGATGATTGCATTTCATTGTTCCTTAACAATGCAGCATGAATGCAACGGAGGTAAAAGGTGTTAAGACAAATAATTCAGCATAAGCACATTCTGACCTATAAAACGGTAATAGAGGGCATCACAGAAATCTCAGTTTTGTGATTTTTATTGGGTATTCATAGTTTGTAACATTATTGGTTGGCACAAGATGGCACCGTAATCACCGTCTGCTCTGCTTTTTTTGTTGTTTTTGTCTTTGATATTTGTCTTGTGTTTTGTCATACGGTGTTTGTTCCCCTCCGTGTGGACCTGTTGTGGTCTGTTTTCAGCGTTTTAGCCACGACATTCGTGGAAGAAGAAACTGTTCTTGATGGTTGCGCCTTCTCGGCAGCACGCATGTATGACCACTGATTTTGATGCAGGGGAATGTCAGCGCTCGACAGCCCCCGGGACGCTTGTGGTTTTTGCGCCTGTAATGGGCAGCATTTTTCACAGCTCCGTTTTGTTCGGCGGAGATGTCGGCGCTGTCGGACAGTCTGCAGTGGAGCAGCGGCCGGATGGATGGCTGCTGAAGCAGAGGAGAGGAGCGTTGGCGTGGAGCGTGAATTTGTATCTGGAACCGAGAGTTGGTGCTTGGAATTGAAGCGGATTTACATGGGACAGGAGAGGTGAACTAATCTCTTTTTTTTCATCAATGGGCGTTAGAGCTTCTTGTTTACTTTCAAATTTAGCTTGTGGCAGACATGTGACGTCTGCCGCGTTAATCTCGCGAGAAAAAATTTAATCCCGTTAAAATTCATTTAAATTAATGTATATATATATATATATATAAGTGAGTTCTTAGGACGTCGTGGGCATTTTTATAGTCAATACACTTCATATTTACCATGGGGGAAAAAAAAGATGATGTTCAATCCTTGTTAAAGAAATGAAGTGTTCTATGGATTGTAAAAAATAGGTGGGGGAAAGGTTTCCGCTCTGCTCCTAATTTTAAAAAATCAGGAGAACCACTACAGTGGCGGCTTCATATTTTCATTCATAAGATGACATTTTGGATGTCGTGGCAAAGACTCACCCAAACCTGTAAGCACCTTGCTGTCTGAAATTCACCTTTAATTTGCATTTTGTAATTAATCTGAGTCAACCTTTAGTTAAAAGCAGATTTGTTGGTTATTAACTTGTTCATTAACCTGAGAACAGGTGGTGAAACTGCAGAGGTCATGAAAGAGTAGATGAGTTCAGATTTTTTTGACTTTGTATTATTATTATAATCTGCAAAGTGTAAACCAACCCAGCCGCATATTTTGTCTAAAACAAATCACAAAAGCAACAAATTCACGTCAGCACGATATGAAAGATATACAATAAGTGAAAATGTGTAATACCCACATCACAGTCCAGCTCAAATCATATTCAGCAATGCATATACCTTATAAAAGTCACCCAAACACATGCAGTGGATTTTATACTGTTTATGAGATTATAATATTGTCAAGAAAGATGAAAAATAATTGATCTTGAGGTCCTTCATTATGCAGCAAGCCAATGACGAAAAATGTACTGGCAAAAACAAGTCACACTCCAGCCTGAAACACTTAACAGTCCCAACCTGTTTTTTTTTTCCGCCACGGGCCGGTTTCCTTTTTAAAGGAATGTTTTTGATGCACCAGCGTTGAAACAAAAACTAAATATTAAAACTACAACTCACATTGGATCACTGACAATGTAGTGGTACACTCGCCGGACTTTGGTGCGGGCATTGTAGGTTCAGTTCCCACTCGGTAACAGTGTGAATGTGTGATTGACGACCAGTCCAGGGTGTAGTCTGCCTTTTGCGTGAAGTCAGCTTGAATAGGCTCCACCTGTCTGCAACTCTTAAGAGGATAAGTAGTATACTGAGAATGTTGGACAACTCACCATTACTCTAAATGTAGTTTATTAGTTGAAGTCCTGTGCTTGTTGTTTAATGAGCCGGTCCCATCTTGGAGTAATGGGAAACAATTCCACCCATTTTTGTCATTGCTTAATCTGGCTGATTTTAAAAATTTCCCCAAATTTGTCATTCGTCAGCACAACAGGCGTCCATCAATCACTGACGGACCTTCCTTCACTCTTGATGGAATGCCCACCTCTGGTATTTTGGTCTACTCTTCATGCACAAACTACTGCAGTTCTCTCAGGTTTGGGCAGTACTCCAGACGGCATGTGTCAGCTCCTTCTGCTGATGTTCAATAGGATTTAGGTCAGGGCTCATAGAAGGCCTCTTCAGAGTAGTCCAATGTTTTGCTCTGAGCCATTCTTGGGTGTTTTTAGCTGTGTGTTCTAGGTCATTCTACTGCTGCATGACCTGCGACTGAGACCAATCTTTCTGACATTGAGCAGCACATTTCTTTCTAGATTACTAGCCTAGATTAGTTTTGAGATTTCATTGTACACTGCACAGATTGAAGACACCCGTGCCAGATTGAGCAAAGCAGCCCCAGAACCTAACAGAGCCTCCTCAATGTTTCACAGTAGCGACAGTGTTCTTTTCTTGGTATGCTTTCCAGTTTTGTCTCATCTGTCCATAAAACATTGTGTGTGGGGTGGGGGATTCATGCCCCGCTGTGCATCGACCGGCGGGTGGCAGGGTGTAGGCCCACTTACCACTCCAAAAAAAACTAAACGTGCAGGATGTCTGCGAGTAAACCAAATCTGATCAAAGTTATTTGAATGATGAGCCACAGCACATGAGAAAATGTTTCTAAGTGTAAAATACGAACATATGTGAACATATGGTTTCCTTAATTTCTGGGAAGGACAATGTTTTTTTTTCTTTTTGGATGCATCCTCAACATATGCATTGACCTTAAAATTCTGCAACGGGTCTATTTATTACTGAATGGTTTACGTCTGGAATATGTTAAAGAAATGCTAATTGGATATAACTTGTGGAGTCTGCATACTCGGACAAATTAGAGCCCAGAGCGAATGTTAAAGGCAGCAATTAGCTGTTACGCTGCACGCAAATGGAATAGGCTGTACTTTTTGTATCCAGGTTAAAAAAAATGTCCATTTTGTCCTGTACCTATGATTACGATATTTTAAGCTTTTTTTTTATTTAATAAAAAAACTGAAAAGTGGGGTGTGCAAAATCTTTTGCAGAGTCCAACAGAATTTCTTCCAAAATTTCCCTGTATTTGGCTCCATCTCTCTTCCCATCAACTGTGACTATCTTTCTTCTCCCTACTGAAGAAAAGCAGCCCCAGACCACGATGCTGCCACAGTAGGGATGGTGTTTTCAAGGTGAAATGCAGTGTTACATTAACGCCAAACATAACGTTTTGCATTTTGCAAAAAGTGCCCATGAATACAGCAGTTTTATTGTGATCTATAATTAGAGTTGAGTTGAGAAATGCTTTCTTCTTGCCACTCTTCCAGATTCAGGCCAGATTTGTGCAGTGTGTGACTAATAGTTGTCCTATGAACAGATTTACCCACATCAGCTGTGGATCTCTGCAGTTCATCCATCTGGCCTGCATGTTCTTGTTTTGGCCAAAAGTTTCAAGGGATGGCCTTGGTACCTTGGTTGGTTTGCATTGCCATTTCAATATGATTGCTTGAGCAGTGCTCCGTAAGATGTTTAAAGCTTGTGAAATCTTTGTATATCCGAATCCTTCTTTAAACTTTTCCACAGCAGTATATCGGACAAACAGGATTTTAGAGCAATTAAGTCCATTATCAGACTTGAACCCTATATAGCGTGTGTTTTACCTGCTAAAGAAGAGAGTGACGGGAATAAAGGAACAGTTCAGTGACAAAAGAAATCAATCCAAAAGAAATCGGAAAAGCAACATGCAATGTCTTTGTTTGATGCTGTTGATTCAATCAAAGCTTTTCATATCATTAACTTTGACTGTGAAATGGATGTCACATCCACATTTGAATACCTGGATATACACAAACGTTGAGCTCGTCTCATATTAATCTTCTGACTATCCAGCAAAATTAAAGAAACTGGCCTTACTCTGCCAACACTTTTGGAGGCGGCTGTAAATGCCTTTTGTAAGCCGCAAATGAAAGGCTTGGATTGAAGCAGTTATTCAGATGTAGCTTTAACACCATGACCTTTTAGAATCTTAATTATAAGAGACAAATGGTTCGTGTCAATGCTGACTGTTTTTCTTTGAAATACCTTCCAAATTTCTTTTTGGGTCTCTTTCTGGAGCGTGTCAAGTTCACTAATTAATTTAGTCACTGCTATAACATTCAATTAACAAATGTCATTGTTGTCTTATTTTGACTCCCATATGTATGGACTTTTAAACTTCATCTTTCTTTTACTTACTGCTAGCAAAACGTTACCTTGTCACCACTGACCTTACACTGTGTTATTTATTCAAGTAGACATCTGAATACATCTCTGAATCTTTGTTCAGACGCGCTCAAGTTA